CAGGCGAAAAACCCTTTTAAAATGCGTGTTTTCTAAATGGAGCTTGGCTAAGCTAATGTTATATATGCCCCTCCGACCGTCCACACTCACAACAACGGCCTATACAGAAATAAACCAGCGACTGTATTCGCCATGACACAGGCAGTCTGTGGTTTGTAGTTGTTTAACTTTTGTCTAGTTTCTGAACAGATATGAAGAGCTGTGAGCTCTGAGTGATAAGAGCTAACGGCTGTGTTGTTTTTCTGGGGCGCTCATTGAAGATGACGTCACAGCCTACACTGCGTTACTATAGTAACTACCCCAGTTCCTAAACTGTAATGGAAGCGCAGCATTAAAGTGAGCCGGGCCTTCCCTAACCAAACCGAGTGAGGCCGAGCGAGGCCTGCAGTGGAAACGCGCCATTAGAGTGTAGAGAGTCTTAAAAATCTTCGAAAAAAATATTTTAAAACTGCTCTCAGAGCCAAAATATACACTCTATTCAAATAATTTCAAAAGATTTCAGGAGCATAATTAGTCTGGCCTGCTCGATTGCCTTCATCATATCAAACGGACCCACCGTTCTGGCCCAATAGTGATCTGAGGGACAAAAAGTCCACCTAGCTTCAAATAGACTCCCTAAACTTTTTTTAGAACAGAGAGAAGTCAACATTAGACAAACTGCTCCCACCTTCACATTTGCCACACAAAACCCAAGCCATAGTTTTCGAACAGGTGGCAAAATTGTCAGATATAATCCTCAATGCATTCTTAATGGCACTCAGTGCTGCAGTTGGTAACCATGCTGCTGGGCAGATTGGGCCCACACACCTGAGTGACATCATCTATTTTTTAAACCTTTTCTTTGAAATATTAAGCTTCTTCACTATTTTTCCTACTCTTCCAGTTTAACATTTCACTTTCAAGTTTTCAACAAAGTCATTGCAATGCATTTGAGCTCTAACAATTTCATTCAAATAATTTCACTTTTCCGCATTTCTCCGCTAAGTTCAGCAACACACTTACTTGGTTTTTGTAGCTAAACGCAGCTACCATTCAGCTAATAAAATATTCAGCTTTTTCTGTATTTTCAGCTAAATTCAGCCACAAATGTTCACAGTTTACAGCATTCGCACGCATTTTCTTTAGGAAATGCATTTTCTAGTTATTATTATTTCAACCATACTTTGTCTCTCCATAACTTTAGCTTACTTTCAGCTACAGAAACCATTCAAATATTCAGCCTTTTCAGGAATCGATGGGAAACCTTCAACTTAAAAAAAATATTTTATACTTTTTGAAATATTCAGCTTTTTAAACTCTTTTTTTAACATGGAAGTCAATGGGAGATGCCTTCAAATCCTCTTTTCCTACACCTTGCACCAAATGCTTCTCCTTCCACATACTTTCAGCCAGACACTTCATTCCAACTTTAAAATGATCACAAGACCTTCAGCTATAAAAGCTGTTATTCAGATATTTGATATATTTTACACTTTTTGAGATATTGAACTTAGTTTGGAGCTTGGTAGAGAGGCCTTTTCAGATTTTAACATTAGTGTGGATGGAGCAGCTCGTTAAGTCTAGAGTGCTTTGATCTCAAAACAGAGTGCAGGAGTGCTTGAAATTCTCCCCAACAAATGTTTTAAAACTTGCCATAATTCCCAAACCTTACACTCCTCAGACATATTTTTTTATGAAAAAACCTCTCCTAGGTTGGAAAATAAAAAAAAATTAAGAACAAAATAACAAAATGCCTCTTGAGGGCATGAAGAGACAAAAAGTCCACCTAGCTCCCAATTGATTCCCATGTTAAAACAATTCGGAACTCTCTTCAGAACAGAGAAGTACACTTTAGACAAACTGCTCCCATCTCCACATTTTACACACAAAACCAAAAATGGGGTTGGGGTTCCCTGATGCTCATGGTCTAGTAATTTTTTTTATAGGAGCCATAGTTTTTGAACAGGTGGCAACATTGTCAGATATAATCCTCAATGCCTTCTTAATGGGACTCAGTGCTGCAGTTGGTAAATCGTCATAAGTCGTCACCATGATCTCTGGGTTTACACACACAGGTGTTTGTAAACATTCATTCACTATTACTTACATTTAATATCTTTACTTAACTCCTTCAGCCTAATTTCAGCTGCAGGAACCATTCAAATATCAAACTATTCAGCCTTTTCAGCACATGATGGGAAACTTTCAGCTTTTTCAAAATATGTTATACTTTTTTTAAATATTCAGCTTTTTAAAGTCTTTTTTTAACATGCAAGTCATTGCAATGCATTTGAGTTGTAACAATTTTCATTCAAATCATTTCAGTTTTCTGCATTTCTCCGCCAAGTTCAGCAACACACTTACTTGGCTAATAAAATATTCAGCTGTTTCTGGATTTTCAGCTAAATTCAGCCACAAATGTTCACAGTTTACAGCATTCGCACGCATTTTCTGCAGGAAATGCATTTTCTAGTTCAATCAGTTATTTATACTTTAAAGATCATATAAGTCAGAAAGTTATAATAAGTCAGCCATAAGTACATTTTGAGGTTGTCATGTCGTGAACATTTCTTTCTCATCCCATAATATTTGAAGTATTAAGGTGTAATAATAATTCAACTTACAACTTATAAAGCCATTATGGAAGCATGTTTTGTATTTACAATAAACTAGAGAATTACACAGCTGACCTATTTAACAGTTACAGGGTGCAAAGTCTCCCTTTAAAAGCTTCGACAGCACAGTTTCACCCATGCAGAACAAGAGTGCATTAGTGACCTGCTCATAGTGCATTCTGGGTATTATACTGCTGCTTTTTTGTGGTTGGTGAGTGTAGTGGTGTGGAATTTACCAAGCAGCAGGTTGACCAGGACCTCCTGCCCTGCCAGAGTGTTACTCCTCGTGAGACACAGGAGAGTGCCAATGATCCACGTGATGCCGTGGCCTGTGAACGACATCAGAGACACCATGGAGCGGCAGCCTCCACAGGACGAGTACGTGTACGCGCAAACCCCCATGCGCTTAGACAGGCAGATGTCTATGGCGAGGAGGGAGTTCTTCGCGATTCCCTTGAAAGAGGGGTTCAGCAGCATACAGTCTTCTTCGGGCAACTTGATGGGCTCGACCGGTTCCTCACTCGGCTGGCTTGTTTGGTGCTTGATCGGACCGGGTCTCCTCGCGCCCCCTCGGCTCTCAGGGGGCCCGCCGCCGCTGCGCAGGGGCTGGTTCAGAGACAGAAACTCAGGTCTGCTCAGGACGCTGTTTCTCTCCCTCGCCCTGGCTCTCACAGTGTGACTCGATGGCATGTTTGAATAGGGCCAAGTTCTCCTCTGCAGGTGCTAAAAAAACGATTGTCAATCTCAGGAAGGTGATTCAAGTGGTGCGAGTCCACCACGACAGTGAACCGTCCCAGGATAAACCCCTTTCAACAGTCCTCCCCCTCTTGTGGCCTTAATATATATATTTAGACCAGCTGGAATGTGCAATGGCCATGCTGTTTATACCGAGAGTCATGCACGCTGGAAGAGAGTGGCATTTGCCTCGGCCAATCCGGTGAAACCCGATCTACAGCATGGAGATAAAATAACAACATGGGCATCTTGTTACGCCAAAGCATGGCACAATAACACAATTGCACAGCTAGCAGGTGCTTTACTGCCAACCGAGAACAACATAATAAGTGTAAACATTGTGCAAGAAAAAGGCTAGGCAAGAAACGGTGTTGACATCTTACCGATTTTAGGATGGATATGAAGTAAAACGCGTCACTTTAAATCTGCCCTGGAGCCATAACATGCCCTGGCAGCGAGGAGAGTGGGGTTTAGTTTAAAACGATGCAGGCTAGACCTGAAACAGTAAACTGCCGTCAGCTAATATCATCAACAAAGGGTGAGGACAGGGAGGCAGTCCTGCCAGTGCAGCATCTGGTACTTCCGTGCGGATTTGACGTAATTTTACGCACAATCGCGATTCAACCTCTGCAGTGCGCTCTGCTGTGGAGCGGAGTTCTCCAAGGTGCTTAAACAGACCGCGGCAGCCAGAAGCACTGCCATGATGTCAACTTTATGGAGACAAAGAGCTTGACAATACACCAATGCAAATACATTGAGTAAATACATATATAAATAAATAAACATTGTGTTGTGGTTGTGTCGTGGAGAATATAAATCAATAGATGACGATGAATCAATGAAAAATACTTGTCACAAAAGTGAATAGAAACAAAAGCACCCAATAATGAAAAGTATGATTGTAAAATGATACACCAAATTAGTTATTGATTACTTTATACAACAATATCAAACCTGAAATGCCCTGACATCTCTTTTTAAATAAAATAAAAATAAACGTAATTGGCACGATGTTATACTGTAATATTAATTACAATGGGATATCAAATGTTATTAAATATAATCAAACATACAATAAATAAATAAACACACGTTATTATTAATTAAAGTAATTTATTCATGGTATCAAGTCAATTAAAAATGCTATTACTTCTAGGCTATAATAATTATGAGATACATAATGATGAGATAGATAGATAGATAGATAGATAGATAGATAGATAGATAGATAGATAGATAGATAGATAGATAGATAGATAGATAGATAGATAGAAAGAGAGTACTTTATTGATCCCAAATTGGGAAAGTGTTTAGTAACAGTAGCAGCAGTGTGTTCAGGCATTCCAATCTTTAAAAAGTATAAACATAATAATATAAAATGGAATTACATTTTTTTTTAATAAAACAATAAACAGCATTAACATACAGTAGAAAGGACACAATTAGTATATTTTAAACGCCAGTGTGAAAAGAGCTAACACAAAATATTCTTCAACGTCACACAGAGGCTCTCAGCCTTGAATGTGATATGAGGCGAACTGTTTCACCTTTCTGTAAATTGTCCACAGCGACTACATTTCCCAGCATGCCTGGAGCTCATACCGGAAGTGTCGTCTCGATGGTACTTATAAAGCCGCTCTCAAGTCAGCTGAAATAGACCAATGCGAAGCGGGGTGAACCTGCCGTGGCAGCGATGGGACGAGCACGGAGAAATGACAGCTTGTGCTGGAATTTAGGCTGAACCGCATCCCAGCTCAGGCGGACGGACAGGACAGCACTGCCGGCTCGGTCGAACTATGTGACAGCTGGAGGTTCTTCGTTCTGAGGCGTTATGTTTTATTTATTTTTAAATCTAGGTATGGATTCTGTGAAACGGGTGCTAAAGTTGACCCGGCGCTGTCCTTTCGATGTTGCGGTGCTCCGGCTGAAACTCGGCTAGATTTGAACGCTTGTGGAAATGCTCCCTCTCTCCCGGCGGGACGGGGACGTTATTTTCAGCTGTAGGGGAGAAATAACGGGAGCGGCTGTGAAGGGGATAACGGAATTACCTCTCTGACCGAAGAACTGTGAGCCGCCGATCACCCTGAAGCTGTCCAGGATTTCACCAGGCTGATGACACTGGAGACTTTCCAGTCAATTGTTTTATAGGTAGACTTCTTTTTGCATGTTGTTTTTTATGCGCAAAACCCCACAATTCATTCAATTGCACTGCATGGGCCGTTAATCCGCACATGTATAAACACGTTCAGGATAACGCTCTAAATTTCACTTTTTATTGTGAGGAATTATGTTTTTGCGGATTAAATGGAGATCAGGCTGCTCCATATAATGTGAAATTCACCTCTGGGCATCATTTTTATTATAATTCTGGACATATAGCATTCACTAAGATATAATCGTGTAATTACAAAAATTATTACACAAAAGAGAATCTGACGCCAAGATGTAACATTAGTAGTTTTAGTTAATTATTTAGCTCATAATTACCCGAGCCTTTTACGTGCACCTTTCCAATGGATGCATGTTGCCAAAAGGTCAAGTCCTTTTGTGAAAAATCGCTTATGAAGCAATGACTTTTAACTAGACAGCATGAACACATCTGTGCAAGCATAAAGGAAAGTTTCTGTTTCTGCACTTGTTTGATGAAGTTGCGTTTACGCACCGGAAAGCATGTGCTCTACAAATATGAAGATGTTCCTGGCCCGTCTTCTTCTTCTTTTTTGAAAGAAGGTTTGAATCAAAAATGTGCACAGATGCATGGCTTTTTTTTCACGAGACAGCCTGCTATAAATAAACGCTTTTTAATCTGGTAAACCTTTTTGGAAAACATGATGTGGATCCACCTGTGGTGATTTTCTTGCTGTTTCCATGCGTATTTCTTCTTCTCCAGACCTCTGGACGTTGTTGTGGATTGTGTTGCTATTTAATGCAATGGGCTGTATCCAGAGTATCAGGTGTAAGCCCAAGAGTTTCCGAGACAGTATCACCGTCCTGGAGGTGAACACTTCCATCGACCCCAACCCCACCAGCATCGACGAGTCATCCAGCGTGGTCCTGCGCTACCGGACACCGCACTTCCGAGCACTTGCTCGGGTCCTAGTGCCGCCAGTAGCCGGTAAAGAGATATGGACCATCGGCTGGATCCAAGCCTGTAACCACATGGAGTTCTACAATACGTATGGAAACAAAGGGATGTGAGTATCAGGGGCTCTTTTACTATGTTACTATTATGGGGTTGAGCATGTCTTCAGCACATTATGGTTGAGACTCAATAAACAAATCACTTACCAGATAAGTAAACATAAGTAAATAGTTATGTTGTATTTTCGTTAAGAAGTTTATATATACATTTCATTTGTGTGGAATGCTTTTACCCAGAATAGAGAACTACACATTTCAAGTTTAAAGAAGACATATTTTAACCAGAACTTCAGGAAACGAAATTCAAGCATATTCAGCACTGTGGAAAAATGTCCAGAAAAATATGGTTCAGGACACAGTGTGACAGTTAATACTTGTCTTTTATTCATTTGAATAATGTGTGTAAGTGCGTGTGTGGTAATGTTAGTTAGCATTGTTGTATCCTGTTGTGGGCAACCACAAGCTGACATGCACTCACAATTAGCTTTATCTGTTGCAATTGTAGCTAAGGATGTTTGAGCGCTGCACGTCTAAGATTAGAGACATAGTCCCCTCCCCAACAACCCAAACCCTATGGCCCTGCATGTGTGTGCATGTGTGTTTGTGAGAGTGTTAGAAAAAGAAATAGACAGTCAAAAAAAGACTTGGACTCAAAGGCCAGGATGATCAATGCCTTTTGTAAACCACATTTTGCTAACAGTAATTGCTTCAGTAATTGTTCATCTAAGCAACATTGTTGTATTGTGAAAATCTACTCTTTTATCTAGCTGAAGTTAAACCGTCATGCTCTTTTGTCCGGTACTTTTTTTGTTACAGATGTACTGTTCATATAAAAGGAAAATAGATGCATTCAGAAATATCCAATTTTGTAACACAAAAGGAAAAAGAAAATTAGCCCCTTCTTTAAAGCCCTAAACACTAAAATGGCCCACTTATTGCCTGGGTTCCGCGCTCTACTGAAGGCTTACTTTTCTCTAATTCTTCAAGATCGCTGAAAAAGTTTGAACGAACTACCAACAAAATGAATGTAAAATAGCTTTGAACTCTCCATTGAAAATGACTTTCATTCTAAAATGACAATCACTGGCATAGAACTGGGTCACAGTAGGTTAAATGTCATTAAAGATCAATGATTAAGTGGCACTATAACACATACTGTGTGCTTAAGAACATAGCTTTAAAGTCAGTGTATTATTTGTGTCCAAATTGCAGCAAGCAAACACAACATTATAAGATAACAATCTTAAACATCATATCAGCATATTATAAGGACAGGCAACACACTGACAAAGAAGATCAGTGATCTCAAGCTGGAACTAACCAACATGGATGTAAGAGATACAAATTCAGTATATATAGCACTAGATATATATAGGGGTCTTTGAATGCACCCACACACACAAATCCCCTCTTTGTACAGTGTTACCATTTCTTCTACCACTGTAGCTCATGCATCTAAAATAGTTTTACTTCATATATAATCATCATTTCAATATTAAAGTCAATTCATTTCACAACCACATAAAGTCTACTTCTTCTTTATATCAATTTTTAAGACATATTTAGCATGCAGGAGATGATACTGCTCTCACCGCTGAGAGTCTCATACTAAGTGTCTTTGATGGAAATAAAGCTTCAGCGTGCTTTAATTGGACCGAGCAGCTGAGGACGGTAATGTGGAGAATTTTTCTGTTGGCTTTGGATTCTGACCACATTCACCCTCTCTCTTCCGCCGTTTGTTGTAGGTGTCTTAATGAGTGCTTTAACTGTGGTACAGCTTTGTATGGTTGAGTGTGTGTATCTATTAACAGGCAGACAGGCACACACACCCAATGTGTGGTTCCACCCAGCGTCTAGTGTTGCCCTAAAAATGTAAAAGTGCTAAAAATAGCAACTGTGGCAGAAGTGAAACTAAAAAAGTAATGGACATGTATCTGTTGTAAAGTTTACTTGCATTGGGTATAGCGCTTCTTAGATCGCAAGTTAACTCTAGTCATGAACGTAAACATTGGAGACAGAGCTTCCTGCCCACATTCTTGGCAGAGCAGGGTTCAGTCTGCACACGACACTCGAGGTGCTGAGGCATGCTGTACAGTAATTGACTAGTTAATGAAATTGGCACCCTATTTCTTCACTTCCACTCCAACAGAGATTGATCCAAACTTCACCATCTGCTATAAAGTGCTCTCAATAGTATTCTGGTATTCTGCTTGGCAACATGCAAAGTTATGTTGTGAAAAATGAGTAGCAACAGGATATGGGCAATGCTCAGTAGACACACGGTTTCTCAATGATGCCGTCTGTACATTTCAGACCTAACGTTTTGAAACCTTTTACAGATCACCATAGTCTTCCCAATTTCTGCCTGTGCAATCCATTTCTATACAGTAGAGTTGTGTAGAAAAGCCGTCATTATATGTTGCAAGACAGCAGATATATTTTGGATGCATTCAGTGTGACTCTCTATATATCTATATATATCAATATCTTTGTTATAGTGGTATATTTGGCTTAATAGGCTTCTACAGGTGCAAAGATTAGTCGACTTATCAATGCATCTGATTATCAGTAAAAACATTAATAGATTTCAAGCAGAAATGCTGTTTAGAGAATCTGAAATTTGGGGATTACCTGTTTCCTGTTTTATATCATATCTAACTAAACACCTTTGTGTTTTGGACTGAAAACACAAGACATGATCTTGGACTTTGAGAAACAAGGATATAAAAAATTGGCTCTCTTTTCCGACATTTTATAAACCAAACAATGAATAGATTAATCCAAGTAATAATTGACAGATTTATCAATAACGAAATAATCATTATTTGCAGCCCTAATTGGCTCAGTTATATATTTCTATCAGTAAGAGCTTTCATGGCCTATGATCACTGAGCGTTTAATGTCACAGTCATCTGAAATCTTTCCAAGTACCCTCGGGTATCCGCAGAAATACCCCCCGAGATATCACTGTGATAATTTGGAATAACTGACATGCTCAGAAGTCACTGTGCGAGGCAGTTTAGTGATATTTTGTTGAGTGAATGCTTTGTAACATTACATTATATATTACATTGTAACATCTCTGCGGTTCTGTCACAACCACTCACTGCACTTATTGTGGACTATTTGGCTGTGAAGACACAAACAGGAAGTGAGACATATCTCTGCAAGCCTTTCACCACTTTTGATCACAGTTCCTCAGCGGGTAAAGAACTACACAACGTACCACAGGACGAGGTCTCAGTGACTCAAACAAACCAGCATGAAGGCAGTTCAGTGATGGAGTGAAATGCACAGGAAATTGCATGTTATGGCCGTTTTTCCTTTACAGAGATTTACATCAGTCCTATAAATAATAAATAGACGAAGTTTCCAACTGAGAATGAGATGAAGATATCCATAGCTAACATATTTAATTTGAGTTCCCGACAAAAAGTGTCTGAGTATTATTTGGAGGAGATTTAAAGGATTAAGTGATTTTTCAGGACACAAAAACCCAGACACAGTTCAACACACCCACACACACAGACAGCCAGCCATTATCATGCCTGACATGCTAATCTCAACCCCTGACTGAATACATAAATCTGAATTTGAGGCTGGCCCAAGCAGGCAGTAAGTCATGTGTCTGGTGATCACACTTTTATCTCCTCTGTCCTGCTGATCTACAGCTTCAGGGAAAGAAAGGTAATCTTTCTCCTTATGTCGCCCGCTGTGTGTGTCACAGTATTTTATTGTTGGATTGTATTTGATCTCTGCAGTTTAAAAAATGGCAGTAAAGATCCAACTGTGAGGCCTTGAATCATCTCCTTGTGCACCAGAGATGAAGAAATCGTCTTGAAGGATAATTCTGTTGTTTTTGGATCAGTTAGAGAAATGATGATCTCTAAAAAGTAGTCAGAGGGGTCAGGAAACATTCAAACACACATTGAAGGAGGAAACAAAGGCACACAGTAGCATTTTTACCCAAACTGCCATCCATCTCAGTTTACAGACAACTTCCTAGTTCAACTTTGGCTTACTGTACACATGCATGCATCCACGCTTCATTTGTTATTGAGGCGTTATTGAATTTTACATAAGCTCACTTCCAGTTTTATCTCCAAAATTGGTAGCTTGAATTAAAACGGACTTGGTTGGGGCTGTCTGCTCATTTGACTTTAGTTAATCATACGGCAATGATCCTATATTATCAACAGCCACTTAAGTCTATGTGCTCTATTTCTTTGTAAATCCTGATCTATGTCTCCTTTTAAATTCCCAGGTCAAGTTGGGAGCTCCCCGACCTGCGAGATGGCAAAATTCAGGCTATCAGCGACTCGGATGGGGTGAACTACCCGTGGTACGGCAACACCACGGAGACCTGCACTGTGGTGGGCCCCACCAAGAAGGACAGCAAGTTCACTGTTAGTATGAATGACAATTTCTACCCCAGCGTGACCTGGGGTGTGCCCGTCAGCGACAGCAACGTGCCTCAGCTCACCAGCATCCGCCGCGACCAGAGCTTCACCACCTGGCTTGTGGCCGTTAACCAGGCCACCTCAGAGACCCTCGTCCTGCAGACAATCCGCTGGAGGATGCGGCTTCACATCCGAGTGGACCCGGAGAAGCCTCTGGGTCACAGGGCTGCTCTGAACGAGCCCGTGACCCAGGAACAGCCTCAGATCCTGGGCAAGAATGAGCCCATCCTCTCCAACGCCATGGTCAAGCCCAACGCCAACGACGCCCAGGTGCTGATGTGGCGGCCAAAGAATGGTGACCCTATGGTGGTCATCCCACCCAAATACTGACCTGTTTCACTGACCAGACTGGCCTTGGATACCTTAACAGTATCATCTCTTATTTTTATTTTGTTCCTGCTCGTCACCAGCTCTCACTGCTTTAACCCCTCCGCTCATTTTTGCCTCTTCGTTTAAAAAAAGACTGAACGAGAGAGAAAAAAAGGCAAATAAAACCAGCTCTGTGAGAAAGACCAGCTGTTGCTCTGAGGTGGGGGCTTTTGAAACTGGAGCGAACAAACTGCAACCATTCTACCTTCAAATTGGGTCGGGATCGCACTGTGCTAAATGAAAGTGTGCAAAAATGAAAAACAAGAGGATTTCTTTGTTTTTTATTTCAGTTTTATATGTTGTGATATGAGGTTTGTGAGTGTGGGTTAAGTATTTACATGTCCATGTCTGCGCACATGATACATACATGGACATGCACAAACCTTGTGTATGAATACCAGTTGTGTTTTTATTTATAGACTGGGAGAGAGTGCATTTTATTTTGTTTATTGTTGCATTTGGTGACATAGCAGATTTTCAGTTTTCTTTTTTAAAACATGCGAGACATTCAATCCATGCTGCCTTAAGTTTACATCGCTTTCTACTGCAAACTTTTTAGCCTTAAACAAAGTGCAATGCAGTATTTTGGTCATTTGTCCCATCTCTACCAGACAGTTGGTGCTGGCATATGTGGATTTAGGAACAATACCATAGAAGAAGATCCTAGTTCCAAGTATTTTATGTTCAGTTGCATTTGCCTGACAAATGTATTGTCTCATGAGTTCAACCAGCATTACGGTACACACAGTTATACAACCCAGCTGGTTGTGTTTCAAGTGCATTATGCAACGGAAGAGCTGTTCTGTACCGGAACAGAGAACACCAGTAAAGCCAACGCTCGTCAATAGCACTCAACACAGTAATGTGCAATAGCAACTTGAACAAAAAGTACTTAAAAGCACACCTCAGTTAACCTCACTTCATTAACATTATTCTATTATAGGCCGTTGTAGCATTTAACATCAGACACAACTCTTCCTTTCTATTTATCACTCCATCTCAGGTCCTCTTTTCACTTCCTTTCCTTCTCTTGATTCATCCATCCGGTCTGGCCTACTCTCTAGCCACAGTGAGTAACAGAGTGTTAGCAAAGCACACATTAAACAATCAATACCGTGATCATTTAGCAGCCACAGACAAGGAAAACAACTGGAGACTTAAAAAACGGAGAATTAAAACAGTGGGATGTCTGCCATGTTGTCAATCTCGACAATCAAATGAACAGTTGTTTTTTTATTGTTGCCTTCCTTTAAACACCCCCTTTCTTTCCGTAATACTAAGCATGTCTCTCATGTTGGTTCCTCAATCATCTGTAATCTTCATCTACACAAGAGTTCCTCCTCCCCCTTTCCCTCCCCCTTCTTTCTCTCAAACGTTGTTGAGGCTGAAAAGCAGAGCAGGAGGCATGCAAGTTTCCTCCTGACTGCTCGGATGGCATATAGATGACCCACTTCTCTGCCCTGCCAGTTGTAGCCCTCACCGCTGATATGTGGGGCTTGTTTCCCTTTTTTGTCCCTGCCAGAAAATGTAAGACGCAAACACATGAATACACAAACAGCTCTGGTCAGCTAAATACCAATATTAATTTATTTAATGTCTGTTTAGCTTTTAATCTTGAAAAAAAGGGCTTAATCTGCAAACTGAAACTCCTAAAAGCAGAGAAAAATGCTGAATTTTGCATCAAGGGAGGTCAAAATATAAGTAAAAAGGTTATTTATGCAAACATAGTATAGCGACAGCAGGAAACAAACAAAGATATTACAAAATCTGCTAGGGAGCTCTGTAACTTTGCTATGTAAATGGCCAGGTTTTTACTTTCAAATGTTGCAAACATCTTGCAAGCTTGCTGTGGTCACCAACTTCCTGTGTTTTGCCTCTAACCAAAGAAATAATTAGCATGCAAGTCTAACCAGTTCACGTTTTTCACAAAGATCAGTAAGCTGCAGCTATTTCAGTGTATTAGTGTCTCCTGACTGTCAACTGTACAACATACTCATCCATCAAACTTGGTCCAAGCCGCATTTCTTAAGGATATTCTGTCCATTTAATTATTACAAAACAGAAACATTTTAAGATTTAACTCAGTTCTTTGATTTGCGTGATATTTCTACCAAAACTTCAAAGGAATAGTTCGACGTTTAGCAAAACATGCTATTTTTATTCAAGATCAATACAACTCTCATGTATGCAAACTTTCCAGCTGTTAGCTTAGCATGATGGGAAATAGCATGGCTCGGTCAAAAGGTAACACAATATACATACTAGCACTTCCAAAGCAAAATTACCAGCACAATATCTCTTTTGTTTTATGCGTACAAACCAAAGTATACAAATTACAAATTGTGGCTTTACAGGGAGTGTTTACTCTTTTAGTGTTTTGCTAAGTTAGCCCTCTTTTTTTATATCCGCAACCCAGTCTCACGGCATTTCGTGTTATAGTCACGAAATTAATCTATTGATTCATGTTCACCAACATGATTTCCCCATTTCTTTTGTGTCACACAGAACGATTTTAAAAGCAATGTAAATAATAACAAATTAGAAGGAAAGAAGATTGAAAAAAATACAGATTTCAGTATTCTGAAACAGAACGATTTTAGAAGCAATGTAGGCTATTTCTATTGGTAGTATGTTTCGTGTCTGCACCAAAGAATAACAAACTAGAAGGAACATTTTTTTTAAAAATACAGATTTCAGTATTCTGAGGCTCTGAGCCCCATTTATTTTCCTCGCGGACAGCAAAGTATATTGAGTAAGAACATGTTTTTATGAACCACACAGCTTCCAAGACCCGACCGGACAAAAATACATGGTGCAGACACGAAACATACTACCAATAGAAAAACATTGCTTTTAAAATCGTTCTGTGTGACACGAAAACAAATGGGAAAATCGTGTTGGTGAACACGAATCAATAGATTACATTTATTTCGTGACTATTACACGAAATGCCGTGAGACTGGGTTGCATGCAGATACAAAAGTGATACCAATCTTCCTTTCTAGCCCTCAACAACAAAGCGAGTAAAATGTTTAACTGTAATATTATATATATACTATAATATAACCGTGAATAAAATAGAAGTGTAGTATACAAAAATTACATTCTATGGAGAATTAGCTTAACCCTCTGCAGAGCACCATATGGATTAATATAGCAATATATAGCTGCACCAGAGCTCAAAGGTCAGTTCATTACGTCCATTTCATGCCACCAGCTAAACTGCTTTGTTCACTTATAGCTAAGCCCTCACAAGGCCGCATATAGACACTCCTGCTCGCTCTCATTTGTAACTACGATAGCCTCTGCTTCAGGCTGGGTCGCAGGGCGCTGTGCTGAAGGGAGACGAGAACTTTTGGGGGGTGCTGCTGTCATAATTAGATCTGCCGTGACACACTTCCATGCCCTAGATGGACTGAACTGTGCCGAGTCGTGTCGTGCAATGCAAAGGCTAGCTAAAGTCATGGGTGAAATGTAAGTGAGGTCATATAGCAAAGGTCAGGGTCCAAGTGTTTGTGTGAAAGTCGCACTCAAAGTGTACTACAGACACAGTAGCAGGGATGGATTTTAATATGATGGTGACATCAAATTGAATCTATTTAGCCAGCTTAAAATAACTCTGACATTTACCAAGAGCAACATGGATGTCAACCACAAGATATTTCAATTTGTGGTTTTGTTTTGAAGGCAGCAGGGAAAGCTGTGTTCAGTGGTATAAACGTAGCATTTGTGTCAGCCTCGAAATGACCTATGGAGACAGTGGACAGCACTCTAACTGGACTACATGTTATGAAATGTAAACACAGTGTGTCTGTCTCATGCTCACAACAAGCATGTGTGTGTATTCATGTGAGCGTGTCTGTTAAATCCGATTTGATGGATTTAGGCAGGATGAGGAGTTTCATTAGTGTGCTTATAAGTCATGATGCTTTCTCTCTTTGGCTCTCAAATGCAGGAAAGGTTACGTCCTTGTCATAAAACAGGGACATAGCTTGCCCTCTCTCTCTCTCTCTCTCTCACACACACACACACACACACACACACACACACACACACACACACACACACACACACACACACACACACACACACACACACACACACACACACACACACACACACACACACACACACCACACACACACACACGCACAAACACCCTGAGGCGAAAAAGGAGTAGGCCTGGCGTGGTATCTGATTGTCACAGCAGTGTCACATTGGCAGTGAGAACTCATGTATCAGCCCTGCACGTGGACCTTCTGAACACATGCTGCAAAGCCATATGCACAAACACGCCTGTTCAACCAATAAACAGGAAGTGATACATGTAACATGTATCTTTTGTGTCTTATAGGAGTAAGAACAATGGAGGAACTGAGGTCATTGAGTGGGTGCCTGTCAACTCTCAACAGCATTTCATGTCATATTGTAGGATAAGGGTTCTAATTGTCTTCTGTCTGTGTGGGTGAATCTGTATTTATAATGTGCATTTTGTGTAAACACAACAGAAGAACTTGCTTTACGTGCTTCCTTTACTAAGCCACAGAATAACATATTGTTTGTTTGTGTATGGAAGGCAAAAGGTGCCAAAATTGGACAAAGCCAAAACTATGCATTAGGACATCGTGCACTTTAGAACCTTGTGGCACTTAATTACAGTCCTGTTTTCAGTTGTTTAGGAACATTATTGGGCATATTTGTATTTCCAGGGAAACATCACAAATGTAGCCATGTGGACGATCTTTTGCTATTTCTGCTTGTAGGTCTGTGCCAAGCTAGGAGATAAAAGCCTCCTCTCCTAAACGCACACCATTACAGTTCTTCTGATGGCTGCTACCTTTGTTTCAAAACTTTAAGAAGTTAATTAACTCCTACGAGACATCAGTTCATCCTAATCATCCCTTCATTCAAACTAATAAAACATCCCAGGTTCACACATAGGAGCACCTGCCTTTATTTCCTGCCTTTGACTTTTGGTTTCATCTCATCTCAAGCAAAAGTTTATTTTGCCATTTCCTTTGTTTGTTTGTAGCCTTTATTTAACCAGGTGAAAGCCCCTTGAGATCAAAAGATCTCTTTTTCAAGGGTGACCTACTTTACTTTAAAAAAAAAAATGAACACAGTCCCATGGTTTGAATACAACCTCAATGTAGCACATGTGATAATACGAGCGACTATGTATGTTTGTCTTCTGGAAATACAGCTCTGACGTAGTTAAAGCAGTTTTCGTTGTTGTTCAGCTTTGACTTTTACACCAATACTTGAAAATGGGTCAGTTCTGGCAAATATTTAAAACTGTGAAAATGCACAACACTGGGAAAACAAACCCTGAAAAAAATATATATAAAAAGGTATTTTTCATGAAGGAATAAAATATACAAATAATATCTGTTGTCTTGGTTTTTTAACTTTAATGTGTGGATGTTACTTTCCTTTGCTGCCTGGTAGCTTCTCCATTTCCCTCCCTAATGAATAATTGTATTTCATTAATCTTCTAGTTTTAGCCCTCAATGTGTCACTGTCCTTTCCAAACATGTTTGACTGTGTTGATTCACTGTAAAAATCAAATTACGAAACAGCCCCTGAGCCACAGCAGAAAGAAAGCGAAGTCTTGAGCGCTGAATTGAAAAATCTTGAAAGCCTCCGCGCATACGAACAAACCCAGAGGCGACACATACACGGTGGAGCACATGATGTACTGTATGCCTCGGCCAGATCTCTACAGCATCAGGGAAACACGTTACATCCCTTTATGCGTCTCTTTTTGTTGATGATAGTGAAAAGCAATGAAAGAAGATACAGGAGATATAGTGACAAAGATGGGACATAATCAAGAGAAAAACTAAGTAGAAATCCTTTAGAGTACTACTTTTTTGACAGTGAGGGGACAAATAATACTGCATGATGAGGATTATATGCAATAACGCGTTATAAGAATATTACTTATGTGAGTACTCACCTCAGTCTTTCTGCTGCTTTCTGTATACTGCTTAAATACAAAAATGTTGAATTCATTTTTATTTTTTATTTAGTCATTTCCTTAATTAGATTTGGGAGCAATATCAGATTTTCACGTGGTTATTATGTAAGAGGACGATAAAAAAACAATAATTAAGACTTTTTCTGGATTTCCACTTTTACTTTGCTTTCATTTAGCTAAATTGTTATCTGACTGGCAAGTTCATATTTTTTATTTATACTCTTATCTTCCAAAGGAGATTTAAATAGTCATTTGAGACTTAAATGACAAGCTACATCCATTAGATAGGGCACAATAGAGAAATGAAAACTATTTGTATCCGTCCGACACACAAAATGTATGAATCAGAAGCAGCTAATTGAAATGCAAGAGGGAACACAGGTATTCAGAAATGCTAAATGAACAGATGATTAAACCCATTGTGCACTTGTCCATTATAACTCTTTAAAGAGCTCTTCTCTGGGTAGCTTCATTTTAAGTCCATCACTTATAATATTTCCACATTAAGCACGTAGGTAATATCTTAAAATTAATCTTTAGTCTGCACCAAAAGCAGGGAGCTGATATTATCCCTTTCGGTAAAGACTCAGAGATTTGGAAGGTGGTAATAGACTCATCTTAAGACTGTTGGCTTTAATGAGTGAAAAGTGTGGTATCAGTGAAATAGGGCTGATCAGGTGAAGTGACACTATATAGGATTTAACGGCTGGTTTATCAAAGATTATTGATCCAAATGAAAGTCTCCAGCAGCAGCTTCTGTGTGCTGGACTACAGCCTCTGTGCTATCCTGGTCACATTCCTCAGCTCTACATTCACGGCTATATTTACTCGACTCAGAGACCAGGCAGTGTCTCAGTCTTCACATACATCCACCTGTCCCTTTTTGTAATACGGAATAATCACCATGCTGCTTTATCTTTGTCACCACACATTACTAGTAATACTCCTGCAGTGCCGACGTTATGAGTTCCAATCGCGCTCCTTTATCCGACCTCTGGGATAATACTGGGGTTTATCGATCCACAGAAATATACCATGCTATTTTGAAAAGACCTTCATCTGCACCATGACTGACCTCTATATAACTCTGTTGTTGGGAGCAGGACTGCACTTGATTTTAGTGCATTTTTGTGTGCATTGCAAACATTGAACGCCTTTGAGCCACCTTTATATTTTAGAGGAATATATATATATAAGAAATGGATATTTTTGAGGAGGTATTGTTATTGCAAATGTCATAACAGAATGATATGACGTACAGCTTCAGACTTGTCTTAAGGTTTCTTCTAAGTAAGATGACAAACAAATTTAAGGCCTTTCAAATGAGTTTATATTGAGTACCTTTTTAATAGCTTCCAACGTCTTATTTCTCTTTAAGGGACTGCATTGAATGCTTTAAATAATGTCCAAGGCCAGCAGGACAATATTATGGGATATATAATTGAAATGCAATGCTGCAGCAAAGTGGATAAATCACAGTTATGTTCAAGACAGGCACTCTCAATACAACCCCGACAGTTATTTAAGAGGTGTGTGTTTATACAACAACAGGGCTACATCTGGACTGCCAGACTTAAATAAGGACAACAACTGTTTACTATACTGTATGGTCCACTTCCCCATTGAAATTAATGAACATCCCACAAGCTGGGACAATTATAGGGAGACTTTAATTACCATCAGAGTAATTACAGCGTGTATTGGATCCTCCCCCCCTACACTCTGCCAAGGCGTTTGAATGAAAGCAGATTTCACCAGCAGCTCCTGTGGGATGCTTTTAAGAATTAAAGCTCAACTTTACCTCATCTGACCTTTGCCTGCAGAGACATGAACTTATGTTAATATGAATCCCTTAAAATACATGAATAAAACATACTAGTCTTCTTTCTGGTCATTGGTGCTTTAATTTCTATCTCTTTGCAGTTTAAACAATTTAAAACAGCTTAAAAAAAGGGAGAAGTCAGGTCTAAAAAAGCAGATAGAGCATTATTTGATTATTTGAATCATTTCAATCACAGCCATTTTCCACATCGATGTTGTTGAGTTGTCCCAGCTGTTGATGTGCGGTCACGTGGTCCTGTATGTTGACGTGGATGTGGAACCCCCCTCCTCCTTTAATCTCTCATGTGGATCTGTGCCTGTTGAGAAATATCAAAAACATTTCATTAAGATTGAAAGCCGTAAGGACAAAGTGTAAACTATTCTTCAACGTCAGTTTGCCTAAACAATTTCATGAGTGTGTACTGTCATGTTTTGTCATTCAACACCACTGTGTCATGTGTAGCACCTCCATACATCAACAAGAAGCCATTCAGTCCTCACAAAAACAACCTTAGTGGCAGCTTTATAAAGGTTTATGTGTTGTATCTCACGGCTTTAGAAATGGTAATGCTTTATGGGTCGGGTACAAGCCAACATTTCCTGGTGTGACACAATCCTGATTCTCTGCATTTAAACTATTTATTTTCTTATAATAAATGAAGCTTATCCATGATTAAATCCCCCCATTAGGGGAATTCATCCACAAAAAACACACTGCACTAGGTCAGAAACCAGAGGAGACTGTGAGGTCCACCGTAGACGGACCACTTTCGGACAAAATGCTCTATCAATTAAAGGCAGCTCATTGTGGAATTAGCCTCCCAAATGAGATACGGGATTGTCCCACTTTGAACAGTTTTAAAGGTCAACTAAAATAATTTAGGCGCGTTCACACTGGAGTACTTTTACCCCGTACTTTTCCCGTTTAGTTCCGTTAGTACCACTTATGTCGCGTTCACACCAAAAAGAGTACTTAGTGCCGGGAACTTTTACCCCCATTTTTAGTGCCTGCTAGAGAGGTGGTACCAAAAAAGTACCAATTTCTGATTGGCTGGGCGAATTGCAAACCACGCCCAGTAACTCTGAAAAGTTTTTTGAAGCCACCATTGTATTTGCTGGCATTAGCATTATTAGCATTAGCCCCGCGCACCAACGGAGAGAGACTAACTTATGGCAACACAAAAAAAAACATGGGAGCGGTGGAGATGAGGAGGTGTCGGCGTTCTGGCGATTTACTCGGAAGGCTTCAGTAGAAGCTGCAGTTTAAGCGTCCTTAAATCGTCCTCAAGCGGCCAGGCTAGTTTTTGGTGGCCTTTCCATATAGCGTAGCACCGGCTAGCGGGTACTTTTTCCCTCTTTTTCCGGCCCCATAAAATCGTGGTTCTATCAGGCCAGGGCCAGGGCTGAACTAGTGACGTCAACACTCTCGCCTGCTGATTGGTCAGAGAGAATCGTCACAAGATCGCGCGCGAGATCATCCCTAGCGTCGCATATATATCTAGAAGCAAGCTTGCAGCATTTTTATACACAGCATTTTTAAATGAATCGCTTCCACATCCTCCATTGTTGTGTGTGTTTTGTGAGTTGTGTCGCATTGAAGATGACGCCACTGCAGTTTTACCCAGCGTCGCTCCGCCCAAAAAGCCCACCAAAAAGCCGATCGCCCCGCCTACACTGCGTTGCTACCCCAGGTCCTAAACTGTAATGGAAATGCGTCACGGCCTCGGACGGCCAGCGAGGCAGCCCGAGGCCTGAGCGAGGACGCTTAGGGACGCTTAAACGGGGCTACCCCGCTGCAGTGGAAATGTGCCATAAGTGCCGTCACTAAGTATGGCAAAGTACTTGGTGTGAAAGCGGCTGTTGGTTGAGAAACAAACAAACAAACGTGCAATCACCGCTAAATGCACTTTAACACAGGGGTATCTCCTCTCGCACTTTATGTAGCTCTTGTATCTCCTCCTGCACTTTATATGTCGTAGCTGCTACATTGTACTACCATGCGGTAAATGCTTGTATGCTCTTTCTGCATATCATGTATTTATTTTTGCTATGTATATAAATGTCAGGTTCTTAAATGTTGAATGTGAGGGACTACGGATGGAAATTAGCTCAAAGCTCAAATCCGGCATGTATACGTTTTAAAGCATTATTTGTTTTAAATGTTCATCAATATGCATTGTCCCTCTTCAAATAAACGATTAAATAAATAAATTGTTTATCTTATTTCATAATTGGTTTTAAACATCAGGTTTTCAACATCTGTTCAACCATTTAACCCAACAAGTGATATTTAAAGCATTAATAAGTCACTTAATAACAATTCATAAAGCCATGAGCTGTGACTAAAAACACTTTTATAAGGGTGCGTTAATACAAAATTATCATCTAACATTTTGCGTTTAAAATAATGTTACATTCAAGGAAACGATTATAAGGTTAATACATGCATTTCATGTGTTTATTTCTAAAGAATTCTATTGAAATATTCCTATATACATATTAGTTATACATGTTTTTTTGTACGGTAACTATTATATTTTCCTACCTGGTTAAAGGTTATTGCTGTGATCATTGTAAAACCTGTTCTTATTGAGCTAAAGCCATGTTACAATAGGAGGCTGAAACAGACTGGTATACTTGGACGTCACCCACATGTTTAGATGTAATTAATGCAAAAGCTTAGTGAGCCGGAGTCTGTTATCCTGTTCGACCAATCAGAAAGTAAGCCAGCAGTTACGGGTAGTTTGGCGACATGCCTGTTAAAACAAACATACTCTTAGATAATGACACTGAACTATAAAACTGTGTGTCTGTTTTACAATCACTCTTATGCAATAAAGCAATGAATTTAGCGATGTAGGTAAAAAGACAAACACAGCACCCCCCCTGTATGTGCTGAATCATTTGCAAAGTCTCATCAAAATACTTTTATATTTTATGGATGATCAAAAACGGGGGTGGAAATGGAATATTTCTGGGGGCAATTATGTATTTCGTTAATTTATGTTCCACACATTTGGACTGTGGTGAACATCTGCTGACACCAGCAGATGCATTAAGATGCATTTAAATGCAAGCTGCTTGCTAAGTGAAAAGTCCTTTATTCAGCAAATCAGATAAGTGTGGAATGAGATTCAAACTGAAACTCTCAAAGGGATATTAATGAATGGAAGTCCACAAGTTAAACTATACCTCAAGAGCTTCAGCAATAGTTACTTTCGGGGTCAGTTCTGACAAGGGTGAATGAAACCAGAGTGATGACTGAAACCAAAGCTTAGGCTCAGACGGGGAATGCTCACCTGAGTGGGAAATGTAGAGGTGATGCTCTGCAGCCAGCTGTGGCTCAGCTCTAACACTTCCAGAAAAACAGCATCTAACCTCAAGTGCCCTCAGGATACTGTCAAAACAAGGTATGCACTCCAACATGGCATCCGTTTCCCTTCTCCTAGTGGAGTTCAATGTCTCATTTTAGAAAGTATTGTTGGGAAAGTAGTATAAGGAATTGTGAAAAACAGTATAACATATGTTTTATGGCTTCGTCATAGTTATTGTGTGTATTCCCACATGTAGATTTTTGTAATTTTTAATGCCATTTTATTTCTAGTTCAGATATATTCTGGACTGTTTACTTCTAGTGTCTTAATTTCTCTTATGAACATTGCCTTATTAAATTAAGTACTTATCTATCTATCTATTGCTTCAGTAAAAGTGTTGTTTTTCTAAATTAAAGGCCATCCCTGTGTTGTTCTGGTGATGCTAGCCTTCCCCCTCACATCTATGAAAATGCCTGACATCCACGATCAAGTCCATTAGTTAATACTTTAAGCCCGTTCTTAGTAATCCGTTCACATGCAATGCAAGTGTTGAAATTGTTGTTGCAAGAACCTGTTTGTGTTTTCTCATGTAAAGGGAGAGGGAGTGTCCAGTTCTTCTGCAGAGGAAGGGCTCTTTCTCTGGACACTTTGTGTACACTATGAACACTCAAGGAGGGTTGATTTAAATTAAAAGTCTCTTATTGCTCGGGTATAAAGCTTCTTTGAAGTATCAGGATAAGTAATGACACTGAACTGGGTAATCCCTGGGAGTCGGTTAAAGACAGAGTTAAAGAAGAGGAAGGTTCTGCGGTCGGGAGAGACTCTGCCGTAGCTGCCCGGGTGTTATTTATTATGCATAATGTTAATGTCAGTGCCAATATAATGCTCAAAGCTCTGCTTAGCATTTCAGCGTGAATACCGGCATACAACGTGATCATGCCCTTACATTCTGCAACTTAATACCAGTACCCCAAGGACCGTCTGTCAGCAGTTAAAGAAGAGACAAACATGAGTTGCAATACATAAAAAAAACTCCTGCAAGGCAAAATGCCCGATCTATAAACATTATCAAAAGTGAAAAAATGGTGTGTATCGCTTTGGGATTCTGATGCACTCAAAAATCCAAAAGCTTTATTTCTAAACCTGCAGACAAACAGACCTAACCAAAAATAATAAAAATGCAACATAACGGTATAGCAAATATTGTCACGTAATTTCATTTTTTAGCAGTGATCTGTTTTGAAAATGGTCATTTATAGTGGCTTGTTTCTTGTCAGGTAAATATATAGGTGATGAATACGATACATTTTAGTCTAGAACAAAGTGTTGAAGCATGAGAGAAGCCAACATTTCCATACCTAAAAAGTGATACTACTAGCATGGCTAAAAACCTTGAGTTTGCCAATATGGTGTATGTCAGATATTACAGATGATGTATCTTAATGTATTAAATATTGTGAAATCTCTTAATTTTTTTTACAACAGTTTCATTCTCCAAACAAGGGTAGGGCTTATACCCGCAGTGCAGCACTGTCACTCAGCACAGAGGAGAGAAACACCACTATTAGCTTTGGATTATCTGGGCAGACAAAACAACCTATTAGGGATGATTGTAGCCTGATGTTCCAGAGGGGCTCGTGCTCACAAATGGGATAACACTGAACTCACAATATCTGTGACCTGAACAGCCTGGCTGGTTCGTGAACGGGAGACCCTTGAGTGACCAGACCCAGCATTAACCACTGGGGAAAGAAAGGCCTGATGACCCCAAAGAGAGGGAGGGGCAGTACCACATGTAGAGATAATGGGTATGTCAGCAAAACTAGGCAGGATGTGCGTATCATCACTCACTTCTGGTGTGGAGGGAGAACAGATATTGAAGGAGGGGTTTGGGGAAGGGGGTGAGAGGTGATTTTGACTAAGCTATTTTTATCTGGATTCCATGAAGACAGCTGCCATCCCTGTGGGCGTCTGTGAGCGTTCCCATCACCAGGAACAGTGACACAATAAGAAAAAACGTACTGTCACTATTGAGAATTTCTATTATAATATATTTTAAAATTCTGCCTTTCATAGAGGCGAGTCGCAGGGTGGGTGCTGGAAATCTCATAAGCTCATCCGCTTTAGCTGACAGCGTTACAGACTTTGGGCTCTGCAACTGCCCGTGTGCCTCTTTAATCTGCCAACTGTAATTCTTTACCTGAGACATCAAAGAGCGGGGTACTGATCAAACAGAATTATGATCATCTGCTTAAACAATATATATAATGTATGAATATCCATTTATTATTCACTTCTTCAAAGCTGTTGATTTCTATTAAAGTCTATTGGGGAATGTGGATTGGACCATTTGGGCATGTGGGTGGGTTCAGGTCACATTTTATGACCCCGACATTCCCGTGCCCACTTCCTCACGATCAGGACCTCCACCACCCATCCGCTGGAGCGCGAGATAAGGATGGATGGAGTGACAGTGACATGCTCCACAGCCATAAGCTGGGAATGTAATTCTTTCGATGGTGGCCAAATGCCACAACATGGAGGCTCTGATACGAGTTCCTCATCAGCATTCTCCCGCAGCCTGATTTAGCTCTGAATGCCAGTCAATGGATTCCAGACTGAAGACGGAGGAATGAGCTGCATATCAAGGAATTAGCATTAATTAGTGAACCGTGTACACAGGGCCTCACGCGGGCTGCCATGCTATTCATCATGCCACCTCATATTAAACCGGCTTTGGTTTCACATTTTCCTCTCTGTTAAGGAAATACTGAGCAGAGTCAACTGTAAAATGCTGTTTCAATGCATGTCAAGATGTTTTAGTAAAGAGTTAGTGAATCTTTAGCCCAATCAAATGGCGGAAAACCAAAGTATAAAGTACGACAAATTATGTTTCAGTTCTCTAATGAGCAGGCTTTAGATCTTTCAAATTATGATGACTGCTTAATAAATACAATTTTGAATAGACAAATAATTTGAGAAATGTCATTTATTTCCATGTTTTCATGTAAAAATATACATCAAGCCCCCGGGGATTAACTGCAAAAATCATTTGAAAATGAAAATATAACTTTTTCACCTTAGATCACAATTCTTTGGAATGTAATCAAATCTCCATGACTACTGAGAGAAACTACTTGCATCTGAATGACTTTAGCCATGCTGAAAACACAATTTCCATAAATGAAAAGGAAGTGTCAACTGTTCAGACGCTTGAATGATTTGAGGTTAATGTGTATATGTTTAAAAGTGCAGGAACAAAAACTTAAAAATGCTGGACGAAAAATTAACCAACAAACTAACAACAATTCTATAAACTGCATCAGCGAGTTACAATATCCTATATTTTCTGAAGAAGGTGGTGAGCTTGTTTTACACAGTCTATGGTTTTAACAGGTAGTATATCTTTGAATTCCCTTTATTTGACTCGAATGCAACACACTCTTCTCTCTTTACCCATTATGTGGCACACTGAGCTTGATTGCAGAAAGTACTGTAGCAGTGACGTGGAGCTTTAATAAAACTAGCTTCTCCAACTGGCAAATGTTTGCGCACTTGATCTGGAAGAAGAAATGACAGACAAAGCAGAGAGGGAGAGATTATTGAAAAAGAGTTTCAATGCTTGAAAAGCCACCAGTGGTAGTTTTATTATAAGATTTACAACAAGAGCTTTACAATTCTCCTTTTGATGTTATGGTGCGGTTATTCAAATACTGCATATTGGATCTGGATATCTCTGTCAACATAAGGATGATTTAATAAAATGGTTGGAACACAAATTAGATTTTTAAAAGAAGAGTATAGGAAGAAAGGACAAACAAACACACAGTAGAGCCGTACAGATACACACACTAATACACACCTAATGTGTTTTTTCATATATTAAGATGTTGAACACAATGGATTTAGGTTGGAAATATAAGTTCTGATAACCGGTTGTCTTATTTCTTTTTTGTGGGCTGTTAAGATGTGCGTCAAAATGTTTTTTAAATGTTTTGAGTTTCAGTTATGAATTAAAGCAACCTGTTTTGCATATTCGCAAGAGAAAACTAATAATGCAATCCAATAAAGCATCCCAGCTTAGTAAAGAAACACAATAAGCATTAGGATGAATGTACTATTGGACAAAGTCCCAAAAGGAATGAGTAAAAATGACAGAGAGAGGAGGATTATTAACAACATGGGAATGCGTCCAATAGGCTTTGCCCGCCCTCGACACACTCCTGCACACTTCACAGGGCATTCCACTGGAACACACCCCGGGGAACATGGCCGCCATGTGACACGCAGCAGCAAGATGAAAATGTAATCACAAGGGGGCAATTAGTAAGAAAGTTGGACTAAAGCATTCATTCATGCACCACCCGTTTCAGGGACAGCGTCTTCCACAGGGGTCAGACTGATTTATATTTAGTATGGGCTGCTGTTTATTGCTTTATTTATTGGATCATCTTTTAAGGCAAGCTTTAATAAATCATTTCCTCCCCTCCCTAATTCAATACGGGGAAATAGCAACAAAGAGAATCCGACTCTAAACGAATAAGGAGACAAAGAATTCATTCAGAAAGGGTCTGTGGGGAATCGGGCTGTTGAAGATATTTGAGCTTCACTACAGACACAGCGCGCTGCTGACAGGGAGGAGAGACATGTGGGTCTGTATTCCCGCACAAATAACTTACTGGTTAGCAGACCCAAAGGTGTTTGTGTGTCCGGGGAATCCTAGGAAATGAAAAAAAAAAAGTGGATTAGTTGGGCGATTGCAGCAATCAAATATATGAAAACAGACAACCAATGCAATTTAATGTCAACGCATGAGTCATCCATAACAAACACATCTATGGTGCTGTGTACGTAAACCCTGAGTCAGGCAAAGCTTTGATACAAAGGACTTTGGAAGATAGAGACGGAAAAGGCACAGAAAGATAAATATATGAAGGGTGCAGTTGGATGGTGTGATTTACAGTACGTATATGGTTCATGAAAAAGCCTAAAAAAGCAGAAAGGAAGCAAAGGTGATTTCACACAGACATGTGGTTCAGAATATTCTGTTATTTTTTTTAAAACAGTAAATCTTTTTTTATTATTTCATTACTTTTGTAATAAAAATCAATAGTGAATGTCTGCATTTCAAGGTTCTTAAAATCACCCTCTAAAAAATGTGAGTGTCAATGCGTAGTGGAAGGTAAAGTCAAATGTACTGTAAGATGAAAAGAAGGAAAGTCTGATCTCAAAAAGGTAAAAAATGCTGAGTCGTCATAACTATTCAAATGTACTCATGTTGGGAGGACTGCATACCAAGTACCCTTGAGACACTGACTGCAGCATACACTATGTAGAAGTGCTGGGAAGGACATTTGAAGATGATGATGATGATGATGATGAGGGAATAGGGACAAACAGAGCCTCTAAAGCAGTAGTCTCACCTCCCGCCTGTTGTGGCTGCTGTCCAAAGCCGGAGAAGCTGCTGGGCTGAGTCCCAAACCCAGGGCTCTGCTGGGCTAGGCCCCCGAACGACGGAGCACTCTGATTGGCTAGGGACCCAAAGGATGGGCCGCTGGGTGGTGAGGCAAACCTGAAAACAGAAACAGACACAAATGTTGTGACGTGGTAGGAGTAACCAGAAGCTACAACTGCTAACAACGACATTTTAATTATTTTCATATTTGAAGGGGTGTGTGACAAACACTGAACCATGTGGCTCAATCCCATTTTACAGCCCTGCTTCATTTATAATGTCTTTGTACTAAGAAAGAAGATAAAAGAGAGAAATTACTGATGCTACCATCCAGAAGGGGTCAGACTGTGTGTGTGTGTGAGTGTGTGTGTGTGTAAGAGTGAGAATTGAGAAACGGGTTTAAGCGATAATCCCACCCATGGACTCTGAGGGAGAGAACAGGGAGAATGAGCAAAACGGGGGGGGAGAGAGAGAGAAATTTAATCTGCAGGCAGCCTGACCCGCAGTGAGATTATGCGAGTGCAATAATCGAGCCGTTCTGCACAGAGCTGCATAGTTTTGGGAGCAAAGCCGTGCTCTCTGTAATACAACGCAGAAAGAAAATAAATATATGAATAATCTGGAGAATTAAAGAATTAAAGGAGGGAGGAAAAAAGGTTTTCCAGAACGTTTAATTCAGATTTGAATTGAAAGTCTTTTCAGGTGAGGTGAGAAGAAAATATATATATATGTGTGTGTGTGTGTGTGTGTGTGTGTGTGTGTGTGGTGTGTGTGTGTGTGTGTGTGTGTGTGTGTGTGTGTGTGTGTGTGTGTGTGTGTGTGTGTGTGTGTGTGTTGTGTGTGTATGTGTGTGTGTGTATGTATGACAGTGTGAAAGCATTCTCCCTTATTCAATTAATAAAGTTTTAGGAGGGCTTTTTAAAAAGGTCCTGATTTGTTGAATTTGAATCACATCATCACTATAATGTCAATACATGGTTTAACAATGTGAAAGCTGCTCTTCGTTTGCTTCATGACTCTTTGTGACGGTGCACGGAGAGAGAGAGAGAGAGAGAGAGAGAGAGAGAGAGAGAACACAGATGTTCTGACTCCCAAAAAAAACCCTGGTGAAACTGACGTTCAGTATTTGCAAAGTAAATATCTGAATGCAAATTAGACAAAATGTCAAATTTGATTTTACATATTGCCAAGTGCATCCAGATATATTCCATACAAAATGCATTTATTTCTCAATAAATGACCAATGTTGTCTTACAAATATATTTGTATTACTTATATACACACAGAGTTTATTAAGTTTCTCACCCAAACCCTCCCATGCTGGAGGCCGTTGTTCCCTCTCCGAACACTTTACTAGCGGAGGGCACCATTGGGTTGGCGAAGGAAGGGGTCGATCCGAACGATGCTCCACCACCAAAAGCTTGGGAACTCCCAAAGGAAGGGGGGCTCCCAAACACCGGAGCACTGCCGAAACCACCTGTAGGAGGGAAAATGGATAAGGCCTTAAAAAGGTTTTGTAACAGAAAGCAGTGGAACATATAGGGAGTTACACCGGCCTCAGCACTATTTCTATAAAGAAATATATATTTTTCAAAGGGTCATGATGCAGCTTAGTTACAGGATATTTCACCCATGTGGAGGGGGTTTTCTTTTCATGCAAGGCTGAACAGTTCTGCTTGGATGCCTGTGTAAATATATGAAATAACTACATACAGTCCACATGTGTTCTGAAAGGGGTTGACACTAGCTAAAGGGTAATACATGTACACACGTAAACAGATACAAAAATGTTGGTAATCACATTTCTTATATAAGTGAATACGTTTCCCTACTGTATCTCACAAGAAAATGTCTGACCATGACAAATGCAGTTACAGGATTGTGTCTTTTTGTGTACATTGAAGTATATTTTGGAACGGCACACTGCAACAGGTTGAAAACAGGATATTCACACCAGCTCAGAAACTCAGAGGTGGAGTGGTATGGGAGAAAGAGAGTTCTGAAATTACAGCCTGGCCAGCAGCATGCCGCAGTAAATAATTGATTGAGCTAATGTAACAAGATTACATTCCCTCTACATTCACCAGTGATGGGGCACGAGAGAGCCAAGTATTACCTATATCCTAGCTAAATGATACCTTGGACGTCTACTAAAACAACACAGACGTTTTTGTAACCAGACATTTAAAAATTACAGAAGCTCAATTTTAAAATCTAAGTTATCTATTTGCTTAAACTTGCTCAACAGCTAGTTCATTTGCAATTGATCCACTCTAAATAATCAACCATAAAGACCAAAGCCAAATGAACCAAATGGCAGAAAATGGTTTTTTCAGCTTCATAGATATCGATATAGTTTACATTTACAAACATGACATTGGATTTAGAAAAACTGGGATGATCTTTTTTTTTTTTAAACCTTTTCCGATAATTTGATATACCATACAATTAATTGGTTAGTCTTTAAAATAATTGCAGCATTCTAACCTTTTTTGTACCCAGAACATCGCATCTCCATTGAATGGCAGTCTTGAAAACAATCGATCTTAAGGAGATAATGTGACACTTTCTGTGTTTGAAATATGCAGCAGTACTGCGAGTACTGTTAGAGGTAACATTGCATCAGCAGTACTGTGGCAGGTAATGCCAGACTGCCTCACTCCCTGCTCTGCTGGGGCGAGGAGATAAGGGCACTTGCTGTAGCTCAGATGATAAAGGAGAATGCAATGTCAACAGTCAGCTGATGTATAAAAGTCGACTTTGTAAAGGTGCTTCAATTACAGCCACCGCACTATCACTGATCCTCACCATAGACTGTATATATAAAGATCCACACACATCACTAACCCAGAGCCTCTGAGCCAGACCCCAAACATGTCAAACAGAGAAAACCACCACTAATCCAGATACATGTGTGTAAGCGTGAAATTATGATCTAATACCAGAACTGTTTACATTTGTTAGGCCTTTTGCTCAATTTTAATTAAGCAATTGGAAACAAGCCTGGTCTGAAAATGTCAGCATTATAATTTATCTGAATAAAACGTTAACTGCCAAGAGAGTGAATGACAGTAAGGAGTGAAAAACCACAGTATAATGAGAATACAAAGCAATATGAGGAGATGTACCTGATTTTGCCGGAGATGAGAAGGAGCCAAATCCCTGTGCTGCGACACTCCCTGCCCCGGTGGTGAAGGTCCCGCTGGGTTTCTGCTCCCCAAAGGAGCTCTGCCCAAAGTCAAAGGACTTGGCACTGCTAGTCCCAAACAGAGAGGGGGTACCTACAGAGGAAATGCATATACATGTGTCTTTCACGGACAGTAACATTAGGATTTGTTTCTTGTACTGTTACCAATTCCAATCAACAATATGCTAACAGAAGGGTCAGCAATTTGTTTTTCTTCAGATTGCGTTACTCTACCTGTCTGAGCAGGCTGCCCAAACCCTCCGGGGGAAGCACCGGTGCCGAATGGGTTCTTGTTGGCAGCTTCTTCGCTGGGTTTGCCTCCGAGTCCAGAGAAGAATCCCCCTCCAGCGGTTTGTCCCGCTGCGTTGGCTGAACTTGAGCCGAACAGATTGCCACCAGACGATGGTTGCTGCTGTTGCTGCTGCTGCTGCTGCTGCTGGGAAATAAATGTTGGTTTTACAACGTGTCCAGATGTTTTGTACAGTTCTATTTATTGGTTACTATAAATTAATCAGTGGATTATACCTGTCCAAATACACTTCCGCTGCTAGATTGTTGGCCGAACACAGGGGCCGCAGCAGAGCCAAAAGCTGTAATAAGAGAGAGAAGACAAATCCAGTCATGACTGACACATTGATAACAATGCACTACTAGATGTCACGTAGCCAATGATGCCACCTAAATGTTCCAGCCACCACTGAATGAATATTTTAATTATTTTCCTCCAGTGTCAAACAGAATGAGTCAGCTCTGGGAACTCAGCCCCCCCCCCTTCAAAATGTGACAAACTGTGTTTTACTGCTGGGTAGATAGATTTCCGTCAGCTGTCCCAGAGTCACAGACATTCCCACGCTGTGTGGGGAATTTAGAGAATCTTTTGGAATGGGACAACTCCCCTCATGCCACCCTTGTTACTCAGACTGCTGCACCCCCCCCCCCCCAAAATATCAGAGCCAGCCCCACACCCCCAGCCAGGCAGGCAGTATATGAAAGGGTGATGATGGCCTTTTGACCAAAAAAAGTGTAACATTTGACCTTCAACCCCTCCAAATGTGTGGGAATGTCCGCTAAATGAGTTGAATGTTTCTTACAGCCCACTGCCCATAATACAATTAAGGGGTTAGCTGAGGTTGTGAGTCAGACACAACTTAACTATTTGTAGATGTTCAGTTCTCATTAGTACATTTAACACCGCTTTGAAGGGACGACAACATCCCCGACTTGTCTTTACAGCCGATTGAATTTCATTTTGAGAAACATGCATACCCAATTACGTTAAACCTAAAATGTGTAATTTTCCTACAAAACGGCCACATGAATACTATACTCACTATATGAATATAGTACTCAAGATACTGTTTCGAGGTGCATTAATGTAATGAGTTGTGTCAGGTTCAGTTTAGCACTAGCCATTCAAATGACATTGATACTATACTTTGTTAAGTCATAAACATGGAAGAAAAATGAAAAAATAAAACATTTGGACAAATCCAACAGGGGGATAAATCTTCTCCCTGGCTGATCGTGTCACTTTAGGAGTTACATTTCCAGTTTTTATACATATCAATAATCTTTAAACTAATAGTTTTGAGCCAGAACTTCAAGTATTTGTACCTTGTTATAAAATAAAATGTGCTAAATATAGTAACCAACGCTGTTGGTTCCATGTTTAAGACACACATTTAACAACATCTAATGATTGGGATCCCAAAGCCAAATAAACTTCACTGGGAATTGGGACATCTCTATTCTTTAAGAATCATATTTTACAAATGAGCATTAAGATCTAAAAGTGCAGACTCACTCTCACCTGAGGGCTGTCCAAATCCAAATCCTGTAGATGAAGATGTGGTGGTGTTACTCCCAAACACAGGCCCTGGCCCAAATCCAGAGCTCTGGCCAAATGCCGGTGCTGTGGTTTGTCCGAACAGCCCTGACCCGGTGCTGCTGGCTGTGTTGGCGCTGCTCGTGCCGAAGGAGAAGGAACTGGCATTGGTGGCAGTGGCGGCACCGAAGAGACTTCCTCCAGTAGTTGCGCTGTTAGAACTCGCGCCAAATGCAGATTGGCCAAAAGAAAAGCCGCCAGGTGTTTCAGTGTTGGTGGCAGGTTGGCCGAAGCCACTCACCTGGCCAAACACAGAATTTCCAAAACCAGGTGCAGAGGGTGTACCAAACGCAGTTGAGCCAAACCCTGGGGCTGAGGGGGCTGGGGGGACAGAGGAAGCTGGAGGGGCAGCAGGTTGCCCAAACACAGTGCTAGCAGTAGTAGCTGTGCTAACAACAGTGGAGGTAGGGGTGGTGCCTGCAGCGGCAACTGTGCTGATAACTGGTGTAGCTCCGAGGGAACTGCTGTCCGTTATTGTGGGGGTCGTTTGAGTGAAAATGGAGCCTGGTTTGTCAGAACTGGGCACCTGGAAGGCTGTTGGAGCTACACCAGGGGTGGGTGCTACAGCAGGGGCGGGGGCAGCAGATGTGGGCACAGGACTAGCGGTCGTGGTGCTGTCTGGGGGGGCTTCTGTTGTGGGAGCCGCACTGGCTGGTGGGATTGCATCAGCTGGGGCGGTGAAATATGAGGGAGGGTGTGGGGGCGGGGAGGTTGCGGCCAAAGGAGGTGAGGGCGATGGTGCTGTAATCGCTGTGGTTTCTGTGGCAGCTGCATCCTCTGCAGGCTCGGGGGCTGCAGGGGGGCTGGGGCTCTCTACAGCTGGAGGTGGGGTGGGTTCATAAAGTGGTGGGGAACCTTTCTGCTCCTCTGAAGGGTCTGGAGAAGCCGCAAGAAGACTGCTGAAAGACGTAGGTGAAGCCAAGGCTGCTAAACCGGACTGAGGGATGGAGAAGGCCGGCTTGGGGTTTTGTTCAGGGGGCTTGAACAAACTCCCCAACGCTGCCCCCTTGGACAGGTCTGCTCCTGCAGAATCGTCTGCAGACTTTTGTTGGCCTGGAGCAAAGCTAAACTGCGCCGCTCCCTTGCCTAGACCGAGTCCAGCTTCTCCAAAGCTAAATGAGCCAGCGGTGGGTTTGGCGGATGCATCTTGGGCTTCTTCTCCATGGCCCACACGTAGTCCAGAGAAGATGCCCAGAGTTTCCCCCCCAATGGGCTTCAGGGGCTGTGGCTCTGTCCTCAGGGCCAGTTTGTCTCCTGACAGGGGCAGGGTGGGAGAGGCGGTTCCGAGAGCAGGGGAGGGGGACTTTGGGGTGAGGGAGAATGGCTCCTCTGCCGACTGGCTAAACATCATCTTACCATTTCCACCAAAGGAGAATTTATTCGCATCGTTAACTGGAGAGACATAAACAAAAGTCATTGAATGTGTGACCATTTGACATCGTCCTCATAACGATCCGCTACAAAGCTACTTTATTGTTTGTTTACCTTGTGGCACTCCAGCTGCCGGTGTAACAGAAGAAAAACTGAAGCCAGTGGCCCTGCAAAATAAATTAAAGTCTGAATGAATCAACAGTAAGAGCATCCTGGCTTGGAAACTGGATGGTGACAGGGTTCCAGTCCCTGATGGACCACAAAAAACTAGTTTACCACCTCAGCCTTGCCAAGCTACCGGACCCCCAACTGCTCTGACACCTCTTGATTACTACATGTGTTTGTGCATGTGTGTATTTCCGGTGTACTGTGTACTGTAACAACCAAGTGAATATTGAACTTCCCCTTGTAGGAAAAATAAAGTATGTGTTTTTCTTCTTCTGTGATGTAACTTATTTCAAACTGAAACAGAACACAGTTGTATCATAGTGATAGTCACACCCACAGATTATTAGTCAGGGACAGAGGGAGACATCATAATTGGAAAAGTTGATATTTTGCTACTTGTGCTACCCACAAGGTCAAGTGCAAAGCCAGGAGAGAGGGGTTTTGATAATATTCAAAATGTTTTAAATGTCTTTGAGACTTTGACTTTCTACTTAGTCTAAACAACAAATACATTTTTGAACATATAAGAGACTCTTATGCTGCGTTCATACCGGACGCAATGCGAATTCGCATCGCTCCAATCGCTCAAGTTTCACCGCGGCTTGCAGTTTGTTTTATCGCGTCATTCAAAACAGACATACCGTTGACGAGCCGCGCCGTTGACGGACAGTTGAGGTTGTTTACACTTCCATGCAAGATTGTTTTGGTTATTTCTGTCCTTGACTATGGAGGATATAACAACTATTGCTGCTTTGTACCATCTGTGGAAGGCCTACAAACGTAGCAACAAACGCCGTGTCTGGGTTCTTATTCTCCTCCAAGCCAGCTCCTTTTTGTTGCGGTCCCGGTAGATATAGGCTACGACATTGTATCGTAAATCTCCGGGAACCCACTCACAGCCACAACGATCATCTCTTCCATCTTTACAACTGATCAACAGTAGGACCTCAGAGGGACGTCAGAGGGAATCCCAACACTGATTGGCTTTTGTGAGAACGCGCCACGTGAATTTGACGCTCGAGTTGAAAAAAATTGAACTCTCGCGTTTGACGCGGCCCCCTTCAAATCGCGTGATTCGCGCCGTCGGAGCGAATTCGTGTCTGTCCGCGTCTCTGCATTGACTTTACATGTAATCGCGCCGCCCCCAAAAATCGCATCGCGTCCGGTGTGAACGCAGCATTATATATTCATAAATATAAAATAAACTATTTGTATACTCGTTTTATATATTTCTGAATGCTTCTTTATATTTTCCCAAATTGACCCACCCTGATGCGAAGGAGAAACCTTTGCTGGTGTTTTGCTCTGCGGTGCTAGCAGGAGCCACTGGAGACTCTGTTTTGGATGATTGACCTGAAAGACAACATTATTTAAAGTAAATAAAAATCTATCAGATAAGGTGTACAATTGTACATATTGTTAATAACTATAAGCAGTGATCTTTAAAGTATTTCATGCATTCATAGAAAACAAATCTGGGCAATAAGGATGACGAATCGTGTGTATACTATGCACGATGTCCAGGTGGTGCTTACCAAACACAAAGCTCGACTGTGGGTTGATTTCATTGGACATCTTCTGGAAACCTTGGCTAGGATTCTGCACAGACAGGACATACATTGGGTATTGTGCAAAACCATAATGCAGAATAACATTTAATACCATTAAGTGTATGCAAACAAAGTGCTACATGTCACAGCACAGGCTTGAGTATGTTTGGGTCATTCCCATTCAGTTGAACTTGAGCCTGAACAGCAACCGAGATTTGTCCAAGGAGTTCCCCTGTCACCTAACTGCTATTTGTAACATCAATATGGGAGGGAGCTGGGACATTTCTCACAAGTGCTGTTAATGGTCTGTCTTCACATGCAAACCTGTCAGCCAGCTGTGAAATCTCGCAAGTTGAATGTTCTTTAAAATTGCACGGAGAGGGACTCGAATACTGAGTTTAATGTTTGTGTATTTAAGTAAAAGCATGTATATGGATAAAAACACATGTATGGATGTCTGTGCTATTCAGTCGAAACTTGGACTTTTCCACATCTACTGACATCATTTTTACATGCTTCATCAATGTTTGATTGATTCTTAAAAAATAAGACTTGAGCCTTTCAAAATATTTGTATTATAGTAATATAACTGTTTGATTTGACAAGAGAAAGGAAAAGCTTAGTGAGTGATGGATAGGTTTTGTACTCACTCGTTTGGCCTGGTGAGACGAAACTGTTGAAAAGACCGAAGCTCCGGAGTCTCCTGCTGATGAGCTGAGGAAGAGATCAGAAGGAGAAAAAGGGTTAGGTGTTTGTTTTCCATATGAAACATTACAGTTTATTTACAATTAAGGTGTACATTTCAGCAAAATGTTCACAACGAAAGATTCTTAAATTGTTGGGAACACATATTTTGTAATTATTTTGTTTAGGTAAAAGAAAATACATCAAGCTGGTAATCATTTGAAGAAAAAGGTGTAAAATATTTTGGTACTATCAAATAAAAAAGGTATATTCGTGCAAAATCGAGGCCAAATGTCATTATGATTTTACTCTCACAATGCCTTGCTTGGTTTGTTTGTTCTTGTAAGCAGGCTTTAGCTGGATAAAAAAGCCTCAAGGAGGGATGGCCTGTGAAATATCAAGCAAAAAAAGTGGAGCACAGCCCAGTGAAGCAGAAAGAGTGAAGTGCAAGAGACTGGAAGAGGGAAAACAAGAGACTGTGAATCATGGAATGAATAAAGAGCTTAATAAAAGACATGAAGAAAGCAAAGTGAGCGGGGTAATGAACAAAAAAAGAGACAATCCAGTCTAAATATTCACACTGCTGTGTTTTCAACTATTTTAACTAAATTAATCTGTAAAAAATAAGGTTATAGTCAGCATTGACTTTCATCTGACCTTTTTTTTTACCAGCCCTAGCTCTACAATAAAAGACTGCTGGCATCTGCCAGTTGTGTGCACTGGCTAAGATTAGGTGGAGTCAGTGACCTGATAAATCGGGGCCGGGGAGACACACTCTAAACAAACACCGGACCCTCGAGGACTCGCAGTGACAGACACAGGCTACGAGACATAGTGTCTACTCACTGAATCAGAAATAGATCCAAGTGGATTCTGGCATGATTTGATGCTATATATACACAGTACATAAGATGTTAATTAGACAGGAAATATAGATGTGACGGACTATATGTGACCTGTACCAAATTTGACTTGATCCCAATTCAAATAAAAATGAATGAAAATAACAAAGGACGTCTCCTGACATTGAATCTTTGAAGATCTTTACTACAACTGTTATTCTTGGTCCAAAAGTTCCCCTGTATTTAAACGAACTGTCGCTTAACCCTGTAAAGCCCAAATATAGAAAAACATTTGAATTTTTTTTTTTTGACCTTTCAGATGTTGTTGTAGGGAGCCTCTGGAGCAGAAATTAAAGAGTTTTCACATTGTTTACGTTTTGGTAAGTTTTTAGGGAAATGTTGTAATATTGCAACGTTGGGTTTAGGCGGGAGTAGAATTTCTGTATTTCTACTCACATTGTCTGAATAAATATATTGAACAACTAAGGGTTGATTTGCAGGATTGATTGCTTACTTAGCCCTATATCAGTATATAGCATGAATAATAATCACACATCAGTCATATTTTTTATGAATAGTCATTTATTAAATATGAATACAATGGTAGTCCCAAAAACAGATCCTATCGTCGGAAAAGCAAAGAAGGACGTCACACTTGGTGCATTGTTTGTTTGTGTACCCTTTACTGCAGTGTCTGCAGCGTCCTCTCTTTGTCTTCATTGGAAAATGTGCCATTAGGTCCTTGCGTACATCCAGTGGAGGTTGTGATCTCTTGGATGATGGTGTGCCAGGAGATGTACACGTACCAGCGTCGGGACTTCATGGGGAACTTGTATTTGGCTGTAAACGAGTCCAACAAATCCACACCTCCCATGTACTTGTTGTAAGTACCCACAATGTAAGGCCTCTCAACTTCTACGTAGGTTTTGTTGGCTTTGTCCCAGCGTTGAATTCTCTGCACAGGGTCTGGTCCAGCAAAGGATGAAACAAGTGTGACCGCTCTGCTGTCATACCATTTGACAGCACAGATGTTGTGGTTGGCCTCCAATCAGATGTCAACGCTTCCTCTCCCTTTTTTCTTCAAGCTCTTCTCCTCTTCAAGGTTACAGTTGGGTAAGCGCACCTGCCTGGCTGTTCCCACATAATGAATCCCACGATCAAGGAGCTTCACTACCAATGGTACACAGGTGAAGTAGTTGTCTGCGTAGATCTTGTAGTTCTGACCTTCTGGAAGCGTGGAGGCAAGCTTCATCACAACATCACCTGACAATCCAAGTTCAGACTTGGCTCGTATCCCATTGACACTGCCTTGGTACTACAACAACAACAACAACAACAACACATCAAAGTCAAAGATCATTCCAGAGATTCCAGTTCTCACCCACACTTTGAACCCCCATGCATGGGTGTGGCTTGCCTTGCATGTATTGCTTGATGCTACTGAATTTCCCCTTGAAAGGAGTCATCATCTCATTCACAGAGTTGTGTTCTTCTGGTACCACCTGCAGGCATTTCTCTCTGAATGTATCAAGCCAGGGTCTGAGTTTCCAGAGTGTGTCTTTCTTTTCCATCTCTGACACTGCCAAGTTGTCAACAAAATGTAATGATGTCAACAGATATTGGAATCTGTTGCGTGCCATCACATCAGAAACAGGGGAATACCGTGTGTCTCTCTCCCAATACATACGGACTCCAGACAATACCTACACTCATACATGCAGGTAAACCAGTTCAACAAGTCACAATGCTGTCTGGCTAATGATAATAGGCTAATTATCATACTTAAAGGGATACATCCAAGTGTCCTAAAACATTTCAGAAAGAACCGTTTCTGCCAGAACCAGAGAAGAGTTAAATGAATTGTTGCAACTAATTAACTGATAAGTTACAAGCAGAGTTTAAAATATTGCTACAGATATATTTTCACATACTTTTATCAGAAATAATGTATTAATTTATTCAAATCTGGTCTTAATTCAAAATCTTAACAGAGGACACATTTAGAACATAATTATAGTGAATTATCAAAGATATTATATTTCTATTAGTGTTTTATTTCCATATGTGAACATATGGAAGGGCAATTTTCATGACAGGGACACATGCTATTTTGACTACCACACTAACCCAGTGTTGTAATATTACAACAAAGACATAAGCTGCTAAAAAATCTAATTGATGAATATATTCCACAATAACTAAATATGTACATGTTCTAGACAATGTAATAATTGCCCAAACATTTTTTTGAGGCATTTTACTTACTTGAATCTGAAAAATCCAGTCCAATAAAACAAAGAGATGTTACTCGTTTGAAGATTCGGAAGTTGTGTGAGTGTATGGCCAGAGGGCAGGACCTATAAACTAGGGCTGCTCGATTATGGCAAAATTCATAATCACGATTATCTTTGGTCAATATTGATATCACGATTATTCATTGACTTTGAAAACATCCATTTATTGAATTAAAAAAAATAAAAAATAATAATAATTTGAACAGTATGTTTTTAACAGTTGATTACCCTGAACTAGAAGTATAATTCAACTGAAAAAACAATAAATAAATAAAATAAAAATAATACATTTATATCTACATTTAAATTAATAATATCAAAATAATAAATACCAATAAAGATCAACAAATATTTTGGAGCGCACTTCCACAACCTATAACATATATAAATATGATAACTAATGTCACTCACAACCTGTAATGTTTAATTATACTGCTATACGCAGTACTCTTATTTTGGTAACCCCTCATCCGGAAACCGGAAGTAGCGAGCTAAGAGGCTCCGGCTTGACGAGTTAGTAAAAGTTGACTGTACGCTGGAGACCGGAGCATGGAGGACTGGAGAATAAAGACACGGCATCTAAAACTTCCCTTGTAACGTGTTTATATGGATTTATTAAACAGACTGCAAGTCACAACACAACCGGGCCGAGAGGGCTTTTAGGGAGGGGCGAAAGTGCACGCGAGGGCAGGATGTATAACGCAAGACAAATTGAGAGCATCATTGCGAAAGGGAATGCAGCAAAATAATCGTTTTATTTCGATTACGCTGTTTTCGTAATCGTTGCAAGCCAAAATCGTAATCGAGATTAAAATACGATTAATTGGACAGCCCTACTATAAACACATTTACTACCCAATAGCATTGTGAGGCTGAACAAAAGGACCTTTTGACTATGTAAATGTAGTCTTTAAAAAAACAAACATTTACTGACTTTTTTAGGATAGCTTAAAGTAATTTTGTAAAATTACAACCGGGGGCCTTACAGGGTTAAGTAGATGTCTTGGCATAGCTCAAACTAAATCTGAGATACCTGAACACAATTGTATATAATCTTTAGTTTTTACCTGATGATATTGGACTGTGGCATCGGAGGCCCTTTGTCCTTGAGCTCCTGGACATTGACCACCTGAGGCACGTTCTTCAGAGTGGACTCTGTCAAGGATGCACCGACAACAGCTGGAAAATTAAAAAAATTATATTAAAAATAGAACATCTCAGACAAGTGATTTTTGAATTCATGTTATGTTTCCATGGTGACTTTAGCACGGTTTGAATTAAACTGAAACAGTTTCAAAGTTATTCTCAGGTGTGATGGGGCAAGCCCTGTGCTGGGATGTAAAGCTATCAGGTTCACATGTTTTGTTCTGGCAGTATGTGTCTCCCCCTGGTGAATTGCAGAGTGCATGGCAATACTTTTTTTTTTTTACAAATAGCTTCTTCTACACCATTACAACATATTCTGTTCACATTTAAAAATAAAGAATAACTTTCAATTGCAGTCAAAAGCCGGTGACTGCTGCATGTTCTTCCTACCTGTCTTCTGATTGGCCATCTGCCTGCGTAGGGCGGCAGTGGCTGCAGCCTGCTGTGCGGGGACGCTCCTGTCATTCGGGGGGGCTCCATGTTTCACTGTCTTTGTGGCGAGGGCAGTGCTATCAGCCCCGCTCAGGTTAATCTTATTGCTCGGAACTGAAACATCAATACAGAGAGCAACATTTATAAAACCAAGCATGTCTACTAGTTTTAAGCAGCTGCATTCTCTGACTTTGTTTACACCTGACATTAAACTGCTTTTTTAGTCTTCCAATAACAAGAACATCAGTTCACACCTGGCATTGGATTTGACTCTAGTGACACATTGTGATTGGATCTCAATTCCCCGCTCTATTTGCTAATTAACACATACATTATATTGGTGTGCAAAGACTAAATGTGCTTTTGTTTTTAACCGGCAGGAGGCAGCAAAGTGCTTCCCATGCAGAATTCAAAACAGACGGTCTATACCTTGCTGTGCTCCAGGCAGACCAAACACTCCAAGAGGTTTGAATTACAAAATATATCTTATGCAACTTTAGAACCACCTTTAGACCAAAAGGAAGCACATTGGCTTTGAAAATATACTTTCCTCAATTAAACTACAAAAGATATATGGTCATATACGTTCCAGTGTACCACGGCAAGAGGTACGAGTGATGAGATATGTTTTAGTGGTTGTTAATCTTGTTTAACTCTGTCCGCTTGTACGCTCATCACACAAGACACATTTTAAAATCAAGTGTGAACAGGGTCTGTGTTACATGTGATATTTAAAATCTCATTGTTGTTAATGCCTGACAGCTCTAACAGTGTGATCTACTCACCAGGGCTGGCAATAGGGCTGAGTCCAAAGCCCAAACCCTGCACTGAGTGCATTTTGGTCAAAGGGGTGGACTGGATGGCCCCGAAGCCTGGCTGGATAGAGGGGGTCCTCACGACTGTGGGGTGGCGGGGGGTGGACAATGCTGGAGGAAGGACAGAAAGGGGAAGGGGTGCCAACTGTAGCTCCTCTTCCTCCATCTCCAAGTCAGCTGGGTGGGGCTCCAGGGACAGGGAGGACGAAGAGCTCACATCGTCCAAGTCCTCGTAGTATTTAGGGGACAGGAAGGCTGAGCGGGACAGGTTGGCTGGAAGAGAATAGATGAAGAACATTTAGAACAGAAACAAAGGTGCAACTATAGCTGAATTATGCTATTATTTTTAACACTAATCACGTCAACATCTCATCATGAATCTCATCTACATCAAGAAGCTCCACAAATGCTGCATTTTGATAAGGTGTTTGAAGATTGGATAAAAAAAAATATTTTAGCGTATCTTGATACCTGATTTAACAGGTTAGCAAGTTGTCTCTTTACATTAATAAACAATCAACTCTTAACCCCTTTTTCTTTGACTGACAGGTATTTTTTCATTCAAACCTTTATTTAACCAGGTGGTCCCATTGATCTCTTTTTCAAGGGAGACCTGTCCAACATGGCAGCAAGTAGGTTACAACATGAACATGAACATAAAACACCAAAGGACATCGTATTTACAGGGTGTGAGACTGACCGTTGAGCAGCCCAGACCAAGCAAGGAGGCAGAACGTCCAAAAATATAACCCGACGTGGGCATTTATTAAAATCATGTGCACAAAGTTCACAGCCTCAATCCTGCTGTTCTCCTTGCACACATCCTGCAGCCACAAGGATCTCACACACACCCAGTTACAAGGAAACATCACCTAAATACACACATACTAACAAGACACAGGTGAGGGGGGAGCAGACAACACAGGACACCAGGTGCACACAATCGTCAGCCACAGACATCAACATATTATTTGCACCCTGATTACTCTCAACCGCTGTCATCCTTACACCAGCATAACTCCTCTCGGCGCTCTCGCAAACTCCCCTATCTTTTCAGGCGGAGCCGAGGACCCGACCAGCTCCTGCCAGACGACATTCCAATAAATACAGTTTAATCAGTTAAAAAATACTACCTCAATAATTAGTATAAATTATGTGCAAATATTTAATGTCAACTGTACTGTGCAATCACGCTAATAAAGTGCAATATTACCCGGCCTGAAGCCGTCAGTCCATAGTGACGAAGTTACCTTCGTCACATTTCCTTCCCCCTCTCCCCAGGAAGCACAGTGTCTTTACAGTCTCGGCTTCGGGACAACCAGTCAGCCACCCGGTTTCAACGCCGCCTCCTCCGCCACCTCCAGCGGGGCCAGTGAAGCCGTTGTCAACCATGTCGTGATGCCACTTATCCGGAAGCTGTTTTGTCCTGTTGTAATGTGTTGGTCTGCCTCTAGCACGACCCAGGTTCTGTCGACTCCTCGTGGGTCCGGGTCCGCCTCCTCGGCCTGCAAACGCTGCTCCTCCTGCTTGTCTCTCGTCTCCTGCTGCTTGTCTCTCGTCTCCTGCTGCCTCAACAGCCGTGGCCCCCTGGTCCGTTCCAGGCATAGCCACCCCCAGCCGCTGTTCCTCTCTTTGGTCCCTCTTCTTTCCTCTCGTAATTTTCACCTCCTTACTTGGTCAAATCCCACTTCTGACACCAATTGTGAGACTGACCGTTGAGCAGCCCAGACCAAGCAAGGAGGCAGAGGCAGAACGTCCAAAAATATAACCCGACGTGGGCATTTATTAAAATCGTGTGCACAAAGTTCACAGCCTCAATCCTGCTGTTCTCCTTGCACACATCCTGCAGCCACAATGATCTCACACACACCCAGTTACAAGGAAACATCACCTAAATACACACATACTAACAAGACACAGGTGAGGGGGGGAGCAGACAACACAGGACACCAGGTGCACACAATCATCAGCCACAGACAACATATTATTTGCACCCTGATTACTCTCAACCGCTGTCATCCTTACACCAGCATAACTACTCTCGGCGCTCTCGCAAACTCCCCCGACCAGCTCCTGCCAGACGACATTCCAATAAATACGGTTTAATCAGTTAAAAAATACTACCTCAATAATTAGTATAAATTATGTGCAAATATTTAATGTCAACTGTACTGTGCAATCACGCTAATAAAGTGCAATATTACCCGGCCTGAAGCCGTCAGTCCATAGTGACGAAGTTACCTTCACACGGGGCTACATGTACATACCTAGAGACATTGACAAGTACCAACAGTATCAAGTATCATTGCACCTATCCGAGCTTTAAAAACAGGCAGTGGAACCAATTTCTTGTTTCAAATCTTTCTGAAGACTGTTCCAAGCAAGAGGAGCTGCGCACATAAAAGCTTTCTTACCCAAGTCAGTCGTTGCACTTGGCACATGTAACAAAAAAGCCACATCATGTGATCTCAGGCAATTGCTACCTGCAACTCTCTGTGTGATCAGAGAGCAGATGTAAGATGAGAGTTTACCCAATATTTGATTTCCTTTGGGATTTTTTGTAAAGCTTAAATACATTTGGAAGTTTTCAGGCAACCACACCTTTCTTGTCAGTATTCCAGATTTACAATAGCAAACATCACAGGATATTAGAGTAACTTGAGTTTGAGGATGACATGTGTACCTGGTGCAGTTGAGCGGACAGGAGGCATCTGCCCCTTTGAGAGGAAGTTACGCAACTGGGACTGTTTCACTGGCGATATCTTGACTGCGGGAGAAACATTTACAGTCAATACATGTTGCAATTAAGAAATGGGATGTCATTTAATAACAGGGATGCAAACTCATCAGGTATGGAAAAGGTGACAAGGAACCGAGCCCCCCGACCCCACGGAATATCGGCTTTAAAATGAGGAATAACAGGATTTTAGCAGTCAGAACAACTAAAGCAGTTAATAATAACAGAAACGCTAAAGAGTCACATCTAATAGAAATATATAAAAGCATTTATTTGAATTGTGTAGCAGTCAGTTTATAATTTTGGCAGCACTGTTGAGCATTTTGAAAATGTATTTTCATGCCTCTGTGCAAGGCTTAGTCTTTCTATCTTTATAGCCACTGGTGTAAAGTAACTAAGTTCATAAACTCAAGTACTATACTTGGGTACAATGTTGAGATACTTGTACTTTATTTAAGTATTTCAATGTTTTGCTACTTTGTTCTTCTTCTCCTCTACAGTTCAGAGGTACATGGTGTACTTTTCCTCCACTACATGTATTTAATACCTTTAGTTACTTTGCAGATGTGGATGAATGATGTGAAATATAACCAAGTGTTAAATCAGACTTTAGTTCCACCTGGAGTAAATCCACAAGCTACCCTGCAGTATACAAAGTCATTCAAACTAGCTGCACCTTTACCAGCTTTGAGAACACTTTCATGATCAATCATTATAAAACATAACATATATATTATTCTGAAATGGACCAATCTGCACGACTACTTTTACTGTCGCTACTTTCACTATATTTTGATGAGAATACTTTTCTTTTACTTGAGGAAGATTTTGAATGCAGGACTTTTACTAACAGAGTATTCCTACACTCTGGTACTTCTACTTTTACTCAAGTACAAGACCTGAGTACTTCTACTTTTACTCAAGCACAAGATCTGAGTACTTCTACTTTTAATCAAGTACAAGATCTGAGTACTTCTACTTTTACTCAAGTACAAGATCTGAGTATTTCTGCTTTTAATCAAGTACAAGATCTGAGTACTTCTACTTTTACTCAAGTACAAGATCTATACTTATACCACCTCTGTTTATAGCCTATGAAAAAAAAACTATTAGAAAACTAAGGCTAAAGCTAACGTTAGCAGATAGTGACAATGTATGCTAGTTAGCCAGCTCAACGATAGTATTCAGTTTACATCACGCTCTGCCGCTCCGACAGGGAGCTCTGCTCTGAACACCTGAGCGGCCCGTTCTAACAGCTGTTCACCAGCGGTCCAGTCACAGTGACTCCGGACCACAGTTCATATTAACGAACGCACCCGTAGGTAATGTAGCTGCTGAAGCTAGACCATTATCGCGGAGCAGCAGAGCCGACAGGCAGGAAGACTCGAGCACACAGCTCGCGCTGCTTTATAATATATATAAAAAGAACACCATGCGTGTCATGATGGCACATAACAGCTCGTGGCCGCAGATTACTCCGGGTCCCAGACCCCCCCCCCCCCCCACACCCCAAACATATTTTTATTGCAGATCTACATGAATCACACAAACGACTTATTTTGGATTCAAAACGGCGAATTTCGCCGAAAGGTGACAAGTTTGCATCCCTGTAATAATCATATCTATACAAATATTTAAACATGGATACCTGGAGACTTGGGTTTGGGCATAGGAGGGTTGGTGTCCAGCCTGGCTTTCAGGAGTGCATCCCTTAAACTCTCAATCTCGCTTTCCAAGCTGTCGTAAAACACAGAAACAAGTAGTTAAAGTTGCAAACATTATCAATTATGAAAACAAATAAAACTAAGGGGAATTTATTCAGTTTAATTAATCCAAAACTACTAGATTTGATTTCTAGCCCATGCAAGTCAAGGTTAACTTGATATATAAAGTCACTGATTCCTAAACCTACTCTGCAGTATTCTCTTTCACAATAAACTCAAAATATAAAACAAATGTATGCCAGATATATTAACATTATTTCATCCATACTGCTCTTACCCAGAAGCAGTTTCTGCAGCAGCAGCACTGCAGCTTATAGTTGGAGCGGTAGTCTTGTTGTAGAGGCGCAGAGAAGTGAGCTGTTTGACCAACTGGTCCAGTCTGTTCTTCTGCTGGTTGATGATGTACAGGTTGTTGGCCAACGTAGTGAACAGACCCTCACGCCCTGGCACGACCATGTGTCTGTGAAGATCATGATTTTTTTTAGCAAATTATACCCTAAATCTTTCTAGTATTACATTTTCAAAAATATATGCTTCTTACTTCTGTTTTTTCTTTTTCTCCAGGTGTTTCTCCCATTCCACATCCAACACATCATTGACATCTTCCACAGCAAACATGATGTACTGGTACAGCCTTCGTATCTCCTACATAAAGAATACAATTGATTAAAGGCTATGAAGGGGAAGGGGATTGGTTTAAAAGATTCATGAGAAGTATTCATTTATGCAAATGTTTCACCTTGAGTCGTTCCTCGCTGCGGGGGTCCAGAGGTTTTTTGTAAAGCAGCTGTCTGTAATTTCTGTCTCTGCTTAGCTCACTTTGGGTCTTTGCCTCTTCTGCCCCAGCAAAGCCCTCCAGTAAGGTGGTCTTCAGTGTACCAATGTCCCCATGGAGAGACTGCCGATCAGAATAAACAGATTAGAAGATGCTTGCCATGATGTAATACCCTACTATAACCACATTTAAAAGTTAGCTGTAGTGCTGTTGTTTTTGATAAAAAACCATGTCTATTTAAAATACTGTAATCAAAAAAGTCATTATGTTCTTTGAAGAAATAACATTATTATAACTATTTGGGGTTTCCCAGCTCCATGTTTTGGTTTTCCAAATGCGTCCTTACCTCTGTTGTCTCCTTTATCTCGAGGGTGAAAATATGGAGGTCCTCTGACTCCTTCCTCAGCTCCTTCATCTCATCATTTGTGCCGACCTTGAAGTCAGCTCGAGAGCTTCGAGTCTTCAGATCATCTAACTCCTTCTGGAAGTGTGCAATCTGATGACAAGTTAAAGACATGCTTGGTTACAAAAAAATGTGAGGACTGATTTCAAAACTTGGTATTCATAAAATGCTATCTTAATTGTGACCGAGAATGAAATATTAGCATGATGGTTTGACTTATATTTAGATTTGTGTGAAATGTAGTCTACCTGTAGTCTACATGGTTATTAAAAAGCATTTTGAAAAAAGTGCCAGATATGATGACCTTATTATCTCTTTTACTGTTCAATCTGGATGCGTCATATCTTCATGTGACATTGGTTCTGTCCATTAATGTAGTTGATTAAGCTAGCAGTATGTAGCTAGCATTATGCTAGTATTTTCACATATAGTTTTGGCCATGCGACTTTCAAGTTCACAAAGATTAAGTGGTGCATCGTGTACTGTTTGATAAAACTCACCTCTTCAAATATGCCAACCATAATTGGATCAAAGTCTTTCTTTTGCTGTAGCTGCTTCTCCAAGGCCTTGATACTAACAGCTGCCTGCTTTGAACATATTAAATCAATAAAAAATACAGTAAAGTCAGTATAAAAAAAAACACACAAACACCAACTAGTTCACACAAAGCAAAAATAAAATTTGCAAGCATTTCTGTAATGTGACTTAGTTACATTTGTCTTCTGTCACATAGAGTTGATTTCAGATTGAACATGCTGTTGCTAGTAGCAACTGCTACTGGCACAGTTCCGTGGCAGTTTAACCGACATTGCTACATCCAACAATTTGTCAGATCTGTTACTGCGACCATCTCACATGTTTTATTTATTCTCCTAATACCATTGTTGAAGTATTATCTTAAAGGTTTTTTGATTGTGTAGTTATGAATGGTCAATTTACTGCTTAAAAAGCTAACCATTGTGTTTATTGTTATAGTACTATAATATGTACATTATTTGACTATTTTGTATCTTTTACTCGAGAGGACTGGATGATTAGTATATCAATTATCTTGGTTTTAATCCTGTTGGGACTAAATGTTGTTCTTTCGCTGGTGATTTATTGTTTATTGTTACAGTGAGGTATATCGTGCCACATTCGCTAGTTTTTTTGTTACTGTACTGAACTATCTCAACAACCATTGTGGTCAAACTCTTATCCAAAACAGTTTAACAATTGCTTCTTCTTAAAACTTTAAAAAGACAACTGTGGTCTTCAACCTATGTTATTCACTTGTTTAACTCACTACACACATGGTGAGGATTTTTCATAATATTTATCTATCCAACTTTGGTACTACCGAGACAACAAAGTTAACATGTCCCTCTGCTGGATACATTTATCTTGACATATTTTGAGCAAAATATCAACCACTATTGAAAAGCGGTCTAGTTAACACAAACAAATCTTCATAATGAACAATGACCTGTGGTGTTTGGACGCGGCCCTGTGCAGCAGGAGCAGGAGCAGGCTTCTGGACGACTGTGGGGGGCGTGTTGATTTGAACTGGACGCACTGGAGCTGAGACAGATAACATGATTCATATCACAAACCAAGCCATGTACACTCATACACACTTGTGCAAAGAATAAAAGCAAAGGCACTGAGGCTGGACTTGCTTACCCATTACAGCTGGAGGTTTAGCGGCTGATGGTGGAGGGGCGGTCAAACTACTGGAAATGGGGGTCACTGGTTTGGGCATTGAGGGATTGTAGGAGAAAGACTGTGGAGATGGTGCTGGTGTCTCCAATGCTGTAAACCTTGGAAATTAAAATACATATGTTGTAAGTCTTTGAGTCCCAGTACGATTATTAGTGTAAAAAAGGTGTGAAATATAATCTGTTACCTATCAGCCAGATTCAGTTTCACTGTTGGCGGGGAGGCAGCAGCAATACTCTGGGGTGTCGGAGTTGGAAGTGGAGATGCCACCGCTGCTGGTTTGATGGGTGGGGCGAAAGAAAAGGCTGAAGGTGCTGAGGGAGTGTCAGAGGGAGGTTTGGCAAAGGAGAAGCTGGAGGGTCCGGAGCCAAAAGGTGCGGTTGTCGCCACGGAGAAAGCTGGAGGAGCAGAGGAGGCGCAGGTAGTTGGGACCGAGAAAGCGAAGCTGGACGATGATGCCGAGGACACGGGAGGTGCGGGAGCGACGCTGAACGGGGCCGCAGAGGGAGCGGCAGCAGGGGCCAGAAGAGCGGGAGCAGCAGCTGGAGGAAAACCGAGATTTGGGAATGTCGCTGGAGCAGATGGGATGGAGGCAGATGGGATGGAGGCAGATGGGATGGAGGCAGATGGGATGGAGGCAGATGGGATGGAGGCAGCGACTTTGGGTGGTTGGGCAGCCAAAGCACCTGTGAAAAGAAAATGTATTTGCTTTCATTTGATCAAAAGTTGTGTTTACAAGCAAAGGTGGCTAAATCTAGAAGCATTAGAATTAGACAACGTTAATAGTTATTCCTTTCAGAGCTGAAGGGAATTTGTACAAACGTTGTTGAGGTGTTTGGCTGGGTAAAGAACAATGTTTTCCTAGCTTCATAGAAAAGTAAAACTTCACGGAGTCAGACAGATCCCTCTATAAGCAAATCAACAGGTCTCACTAAATAGAAAGTAAAAAACATGAATAATTGGAAAATAAATGTGTGTGTGTAATAAATGACAAAGATAACACTGCAATTAGCAAAAATGCTTCCTTTCTGCTCTCATCCCCAGTACACTTAAAAACAAATCAGCACTGTGCGACCTATGTGATGATGTTATGTGTAATAAAACTATCAAAAGCAATTGGTTTATGTGTACTTTAGTTTAAAAACAGATAAGCAGAATAAAAGTCTTGTTCCTTTAACATATCTTGTTTTTGATTGACATGTCCCTTGAGCCGTTTAACTGAGTTGTGTTACCAAATTCCAGACTTACAACTCCCCTGGGAGACATGTCCAATGATATGTCCATGTTTGTCAGCATCACACCAGTAAGGAAAAATCTTGCAAACACTTTGGTATCACTGCATTCGATGACTTCATACATGTATCATTGCAACTGTGATTATGAATCAATTTCTACAACATTTTATTCTAAAAACATCTGTTGAGTTCACTGGCTCTCTCACCTGGCATGGGCGGTCTCTCCCCATCCAGGGCGAGGACAGATGGGGGTGCGACCAGCTGCTTGACACCGGGATTGAGGTTGAGCAGAGCAAATGGGCAGAGTATTCCCTCGGTGGACAGCATCAGCATGGTGGGCGCAGGGGGCAAGGTCTTCTCATCGGCTTTGAGAGGGGAGAGAGTAGGGAGAGGGATGATCGGATGGAGAAACACTGTAGTCAACATGATGAGCAGTGAAAGACTCACACATAACTTTCCAGCCATTTTGTGACCGTCCACAGATCAGAGAGCCAGGAAGAATCCACATCTATCTTCACATTGTGTATAGAGTCTATTAATTAAGAGCCAAAGCATGTGCAACAGAGTTTGGTAATACATTAGAAGGCATTGTTCACAGCTTTGCGCTCCAACTCACACCTCTGCACAAGGGAAATGATTAACAGTAGGTGTTGTTTGCTCACTATGCTGGCTATGTCCATGAGGGCAAAATGCAGTTTGACACTTTAATCATCATGCAAGTGTTGACAGCATTTGAGCACAAAGACTGTGGCCGTTACTCTATATCGAATAAACCTGCTGCAGAGCAACTATTTCAAGTATACGACGTCATCGAGTGGCGCAGAATGCTGGGCATTTAACATGCATTTAAAAAGTCCTTCGGCGCCACTCGATGACGTAGTATACTTGAAATAGTGGCTCTGCAGCAGGTTTACTCGATTGAGAAACGGCCTGTATGTTACTGCTGTACTCATCACAATGACCGTGGTTCATTCTGCCCCCCAGTGGTTTAAAACAGAACCCAGTGTTCAGTTTGAAAAGGCACACTGAAGTCATGTAAAGACAAAGATATCCTAAGATGCTTCATTTGGTAAAACACAGTCCATCTCATTCTTCTTGTTGCCAAAGCCCTCCTCTTCCCTGCTCTTCATGCCCACTTTCCAGTCAGTTGTGGGCTGCACACTAAACTTTTCTAAACCAAACTAATTTCACACTGAGAACTCACACCCCAAAATAAAGATGAATTAGTCAGCGTTGATACAACTCATTTCAGATACATCAAAAAGTACAAGGAACAGTTTGTGCTCTCTGTTCTCGCTACAGCCGTCTCATATCTAAAACTATATCTCACGTATAACTTTCACTGTCATCAGTAGATGACAGCAGCAGCAGATGCTCCTTCTGAGTTTCTGTGTTTGATTAATTGCCACTGACTCATATCCCTGGCTATTATCCTATACTTTGCATCTAATTGTATATTCATTCCACCCACTGCATGTCTGCTTTGGACAATGTTAAAGCTATTGAGTATTGTATTCTCTGATTAAGCTATACACACAAAAATACATTTATATATTCAATTTTCAAATGTGATCAAACATAGTTATTAAGTTTCACTAGTGAAAGTGATACTAAGTTCTGGACAGAATAAGCACACAATGCAGAACATAAATACAGCACCTAATGTTCAGTTTGATCTCAGTTCTGAAACTATAGTCGAAAGCTAGGGAGTGGCAAAGCGAGGGAACAGAAGGGAGCGGCACTCGGTTAAGCTCATCAGCATTCTGCAACAGGATCGTCTGGGCTTTGTTGTTTGTTGTGGTCCTCTAGCTTGTCTGAGCCATTTTAATGACTGCATGTCTTCTCCACAGATAACTCTCGTGACTCTCCCTTTGCTTTCCATATCTAATGTGTTCTCACTTCAGATAAAGGTTTTGATCAGACTACAATGTTGCCCAAAGTGAAGGTTTTCCTCACTGGGGGGGGGGAGTTCTTCCTTTTTTTCTTGGAGTGAGCATGGAGAGATGTGAATAGACAGCAGCAGCTCTACGTGAATGTCTGGCAGACTGGGCCATTTGAGATAAAACAGTGCGCTGAGACGGTAGCTTATCACTATTCTTGACACATGCTGCAATAGAGCACTGCAGTGGATGCTGTATGCACATAGGAACCTGGCTTATTTCAGTTCATCTGATCATTAGGGGAGGGTTAACCACAAACTAGGACAATGCATTTCATGAGATAACTCCAACTGTTAATATGAATAGGACACAGACAGACTCAATACTTAAACATGCCTACAAAATAAAACTTGATATCACAGAAAGCTTTAGTTAGTAGATTTAGCTGATGGAAGATAGTGTTCAAACCGGCCTCAGCTGGTTGGATTCGCTCCACAAAGTTAATTCTGTCATTTCACTATTTTCTTTCAAACCCAGGGGAATTTTTGTGCTTCACCAAAGACGAGCAAAACCATTTATAACTAAACACATTGGAAATATTAAAGCGATATGTGTATACAAACTAATCCTATTTATTACTTTATAATCAGGGGTGCACATCACTTTTTTGCCCTGGTTCTCAAAGGAGCACCTGGAGATGTTGCTTGGTGCTCATCCTTAAAATGAAATAAACCGTAACTTTTGAGGGGGTCTTGACTTTATTTGCCAGACACACGGCGCTGAACACACAGAGGTGCACACAGAACACACATGCAGAGGTGAACACAGAACACACATGCAGAGGTGAACACAGAACAAACATGCAGAGGTGAACACTGAACACACATGCAGAGGTGAACACTGAACACACATGCAGAGGTGAACACAGATGCAGAGGTGAACACAGAACACACATGCAGAGGTGAACACAGAACACACATGCAGAGGTGAACACTGAACACACATGCAGAGGTGAACACAGAACAAACATGCAGAGGTGAACACAGAACAAACATGCAGAGGTGAACACAGAACACACATGCAGAGGTCAACACAAGACAACATGAGCACGACCAGTAATCCTACAAGCATTTATTTATTTATGCATTTTTTATCTCTCCAGTTTTAAAGGATATTTGTGGTTACTGTCCTATAGTATGCATTGGAATGATTTCAAACCTGTTTATCCCAATAATTATAAAGGAGTGCCTTGGAAATATGTGTTTACATAAATTGTGACCAAACTGTTTGAACTTAGACTAAAGTGAACTATCTAAACACTCAGAGTCCTTTACCTCACTGAGCTGTAGTTATCAGTCTCTCAGTCTGACTGGAGAGGACTCTCCCTCCACATCATTGTAGAAACATCTTCTTCTTATATCTGTTAGAGCAGCTAGCACCAGATTCTAATAACAACACCGGGCAGTGCGCCCTTCTCTCTCTCCCACGCTCACTCGCATTTTGGCTGTGAGCTACGGGCGCCAGATAAGCCAACATCCCCCATTTTCATCACTTACAGCGCCCATCGTACAGGGCAAATGAAACTTGTAACCGGGGTGAAAAGGGTGTTACATTTACTTAATTATGAATGTTGTTACATCAAGACAAAAAATTAGGATGAGCCCCAACGGTCAAAAATGTTTTTTTCCCTCCCAGAGCTGCCAGCGCAGCGCCTCCCCAGATCTGGCGCCCTATGCGAACATCTATAACGCCAGTGCTACGGGCCGACCCTGAGTTCATATGCAACTCGCAAATATCTTTCTCTCTCTCTCCTCTCTTTTTTATCTCCCTCTCTCAATTTTGGTACGCAAATGCGCCTTTTTTCAAATGACCCGGTGCTCTTTTTTTGGCGGAGGTGCGCATGCGCACCAGTTATGTGCAGCCCTGTTTATAATGTAATAGTGATCAGTATTCGGATAAAGTACATGGATGATTTGAAACTCATTAGAACTCAGATTATATAAGTCTTCAACATTTAACTGTAAAATCCAATACAAATTGCCAAAATGATTTCAATTGAACGCCGAAGTGCTTAGACAGACATTAGTGGGCTCCAAAATGAACAAGCATTTGAGTAAGTGTTTTGTGTGGACGTGCGCACACGTCAGACAGGTGAAGAGAGGACATGAACAGAAAACCAAATCCACTCACTGATGTAGATCGCCTGCTGGCTGGTGTAGTCTATGGCTAGGCCGAGAGGCAGCGTGTCTTCACTCGTCTCCGTCACTGGAAGCTCAGCTCTACTCGCATCTTCCAGGATCCAAAGCTCCCAGTTCTAAAAGGACAACAAACAGTCGAATTCAGTGCATTTCAAATAACATTTCTTTTTTTTAGTGGAAACCTGATACAGTAATGGAAAATGTGTTTAAGCACATTCACAACCTTGCTTTACTGTCCTTGAATGGGCTAGTTTAATGTATGGCATTAGGCTTGCTCACTGCGGATGGAGGAAGCTCTGGTAGCTTGCATTATTTAAAAAAATAGTGTTCTTCTGAGTGAGAAGAACTTGTTAGAAAAATTATCAACTTTCCTTGATACTTTCGAACCACGTAATTTTGAATGACAATGGAAACATATCATTGAGATCGACACCTTTCATTTCTATCTTTATTCAAAACAGTGTGTCATTTAAACTTATGATTTCTAAAACATCTTTAGCTTTTCATGTCATTTAATACCTTGTCCTCTTGTCTGGCGGCTATGACACTGACTTCAATGGAGGCCGCTGATGCTGCAAACAGGAGGTCCCTGAATAAAAGAAACAAAGCAAATATTACACCAATTCTTCATGATATTGAAAGAAATCAAACTTAATATCTTGCCCCATCTTTTGGGGGAATCCTTCACCATCAATGCATGGAAATGGTGATCAAACTCACCAGTCCTCCACATGGCTAAGGAAGTAGTGGTGTTGTCGCTCCGTGAAGCTGCCGTACACCGTGTCACTAAAGTTCAGATACTTTGTCTCCGGCCTCTCATCCTTCTTCTACAAAAACACACAGAGAAATCCAACGTTAAAACAGGTTCTTAAGGTACATTAAAAGAATTCAACTAATGAAACAACTGCTAGCTGATTCTTCCATTTTACAAGAAAAACAATGTCACTACATATACTGAGAAGCACATAATGCCCATTGACATCCAACTGCAATTCAAAAGTCATATTATGTTAAACAGTTGATGTGAAGTAGGAGATGTGTGGTAAGATGTGAAGCTCTATGAAACCAACAATAATGTCTGACACTGTGCGCTTTAGTTTAAAGTGTGCATCTGGACCCGGTGACAACATTACCTATTGACGCAGCAACCACTGTAAGTTATATTCTTGTTTAATTAGACTTCTCGGTTTCATTTATTCGACTCTGTATAATTGTTACTGTAGCTAAAACGGCTAAATCGCTTTTGAGAGATTTTAAATCTCAGATCTGCTCAGGCGAAACCTGCTTTACAGCTCTCAGCACTCAAGCCTGCATTATTAACATAGGCAGGGCCAGTCTATTGTCGCCCATCAGCTGTAGATAGTTAACTAATTAACTTCAGCTGTGAGAACTGAGCAATCAGGCGTCCATTTCGGGTAGCTCTTTCCTGGAGCGTCAGCTTCAGCGGCAGACAGGCTAAGACTGACAAAGACATTAGAGTCCTACAGGCTAAGACTGACAAAGACATTAGAGTCCTACAGGAGTAAGACTGACAAAGACATTAGAGTCCTACAGGAGTAAGACTGACAAAGACATTAGAGTCCTACAGGAGTCACGAGGGAGGCAAAGAGGAGGCAAATCCTACTTTGATTGAGCTAAGTATCGTTGGCGTTTTTAATTTTTACTTTTGTTGTTTAGCCCCTCATGCTATAATCATGTGTATTTTCTCCATTCCTGTTCATGTGTCTTCTCGCAATTATCACTGGCCCCGTGTATCTCGTAATCGATATAACCGGCCTGCTCTCGTCTATCCCACGTGCTCCACTGAGATCCAACATCTAGTTTCAGGTGGCCTGTGGAACTGCCAGTCAGCTGTTCCTAAAGCTGACTTCATCTCTGGCTACACCTCCCTGCAGTCTCTGGATTTCCTTGCTCTCACTGAGACCTGGATTACTCCATCCAACACATCCACCCCAGCAGCTCTCTCCACTGCATATTCCTTCTCCCATACACCCAGACCCACTGGCAGAGGAGGTGGCACTGGTCTCCTGCTCTCTCCCAAATGGAGCTTTTCCCTCTTCAAGCTACCTAACTTTACTCCTTCCACCTTTGAGTTCCATGCCGTCACAGTAACCCATCCTATACAGTTAACCATTGTTGTTCTCTACCGTCCACCAGGCGCCTTGGGGGACTTCTTGGAGGAATTAGATCATCTCCTCTCACACATCCCTGAAACTGGCCCTCCCGCTGTACTTCTCGGAGACTTCAACCTCCAGATGGGGAAGATAGACGAACTAACATCTCTGTTAACCGCCTTTGCTTTCTCACTCTCTCCGTCCCCACCGACTCATAAAGCTGGCAATGTCCTTGATCTCATATTCTCAAGGAACTGCGCTACTTCTAACCTCTCTGTAAACCCGCTCCACACATCCGATCACTTCTTCATTTCATTCTCTCTATCCCTTTCCAAACATAACAAACTAATCTCTTCCCATCCTACACTTGTCCGCCGTAACCTTCGCTCCCTCTCTCCCTTTGCCTCGTCGGTGCTCTCAGCCCTCCCTTCCTCTGATTCGTTCCAACTACTGCCTCCAAACTCTGCTGCAGAAACTCTCCTCTCTACTCTCTCATCCACTCTGGACTCGCTCTGTCCTCTGACATCTCGGCAGGCTCGTCAGTCCCCTCCGGCTCCCTGGCTAAATGATGCACTGCGTGCTAATAGAACCGTCCTTAGGGCAGCAGAGCGGAAATGGTGGAAATCCAAACACCGTGACGACCTCCTAACCTATCAAGCTCTCCTCTCCTCTTTCTCTGCTTCGATCTCTCAGGCAAAAAGCACTTTCTTTCAAGATAAGATCCAATCTTCCTATTCCAATCCTAAAAAACTATTTTCCATCTTCTCCACCCTCTTGGACCCTCCAAAAGCTCCTCCCCCCTCCTCACTTCTGTCAAGCGACTTTGTTACCCACTTTGAAAAAAAGGTTAATGATATTCGCTCTTCTTTTTCTGACTCACCTTTACTCACCGCTGGGTCACCAGACCTTCCTTCCACCAACACACTAACCTCCTTTTCCCCTCTCTCTCCAAGTGAAGTTCTTACCCTCATTACCTCTGCCCGCCCTACCACCTGTCCTCTGGACCCTATCCCTTCAAACCTCCTTCAGACTATCGCTCCTGATATTCTACCGTTTCTCACCCATTTCATCAACACTTCTCTAACTTCTGGTCACTTTCCAAACAGTCTCAAGGAGGCAAGAGTAAACCCTCTCCTAAAGAAACCCACTCTCAACCCGTCTGATGTTATAAACTACAGGCATGTCTCTCTCCTCCCGTTCCTGTCTAAATCACTTGAACGCGCTGTCTTTAAACAACTCTCCTGTTATCTCAATCAGAACAACCTTCTGGATCCGCACCAGTCTGGTTTCAAGGCAGGTCACTCCACAGAAACTGCTCTCATTGCTGTCACGGAGGAACTGCACACTGCCAAAACTGCATCCCTCTCCTCTGTCATCATCCTGTTGGACCTGTCTGCTGCATTCGACACGGTGAATCATCAGATCCTCCTTCGCACTCTCCAAAAACTTGGAGTTTCAGGCTCTGCACTTTCCCTCCTCACCTCATACCTGAAAGACCGTACCTACAGGGTGACTTGGAGAGGGTCTGAGTCCGACCCTTGTCAATTAACTACGGGGGTCCCTCAGGGCTCTGTTCTTGGTCCCCTCCTCTTCTCCCTGTACACAAACTTGCTCGGATCAGTCATTAGCCCGCATGGTTTTTCTTACCACTGCTACGCTGACGACACCCAATTAATTCTGTCCTTTCCCCGCTCAGAGACCCAGGTCGTCGCACGCATCTCTGCTTGTCTAGCTGACATCTCTCAGTGGATGTCTGCTCACCACCTCAAGCTCAACCTTGACAAGACTGAGCTGCTCTTCCTCCCGGGAAAAGATTGTCCAACTCTTGACCTGACAATCAACATCGGCACCTCAGTTGTTTCCCCGACTCAGACTGCAAGGAATCTGGGTGTGACCCTAGATAACAACCTGTCCTTCACTGCAAACATCGCTGCTACAACCCGCTGCTGCAGATACACGCTTTACAACATCAGGAAGATACGTCCCCAGCTGACTCAGAAAGCGACTCAGGTTCTGGTCCAGGCTCTCGTCATCTCACGCCTAGACTACTGCAAACTCCCTCCTGGCTGGTCTACCTGCATGTGCCATCCGACCTCTGCAGCTCATCCAGAATGCAGCGGCTCGTCTGGTCTTCAACCTTCCTAAATTCTCCCACACCACTCCGCTCCTCTGCTCCCTTCACTGGCTTCCGGTAACTGCTAGAATCCACTTCAAGACACTGGTACTTGCTTACCGTGCTGCGAATGGATCTGGCCCTTCCTACATCCAGGACATGGTTAAACCGTACACCCCAGCGCGTGCACTACGCTCTGCATCAGCCAAACGACTCGTTGCGCCCTCGCTGCGAGGGGGACCCAAGTTCCCATCGGCGAAAACACGTGGGTTTGCTATCCTGGCTCCAAGATGGTGGAATGAGCTCCCCATTGACATCAGGACGGCAGATAGCTTGCTCATCTTCCGGCGCAAACTGAAAACTCATCTCTTTCGACTCCACTTCGAGCGTTAGAACGATTAACGAAGCACTTTTATACCAATAAAGGACTGGCTTACCTAAAGCCAGTTGAGTAGCACTTGAAATGTTTGGCTCTATGAAACCTGATATACTTATATGATTCTGTTTTCTTCAAGGTTGTGTCTTCCTGGTCGAATGTACTTATTGTAAGTCGCTTTGGACAAAAGCGTCAGCTAAATGTAATGTAATGTAATGTAAAGAAGCATCCTAGTGAACAATACATTAGGAGGCACAGGGAGCCGCAGTAGGAGCCTCTACGCGACTCCAGAGCCACTACAAAAACAATCTGTTAACACCACAAAGCACATGGCCTCTAAAGCTGACATATAATCTGGCAAAAGCACCTAAGGCTGCATTTGTTTCTTCACCTTGTTGTTGTGGCCATGTGGAGGAATAATCTTCCAACAAACAAGAAAAGCTGATGTGAATTTCAAAATAAATACATGGTCAAACGTATCTGCTGAGGTGATGAGTGAGAAGCAGAGGAGACTGAAGGGGTATAACCTGAAAATAATCTAAATGTGTGAAGGTGAATTCAGTGCACTGTGGTTGTAGGGTGTACTCACAGGAAGGGAGATCAATACGAGCTCAGGAGGAGTCTCAAGGGACCCGTCTGCAGCAGCATAGACCACAGCAAACACAAACGTTTTCAGCCACTGCACATCCAGAACTGTGAGAGACAGGAGAGAGATTGATTGGCCACAGATAGGGTTCGGATACAGAAATACAAGTGAAACTAAACGAGAATATTAAATATATTGATGTCAAATAAATAAAGTATTTAATCTCATTAATAATCCGGCTCAGTTAATGTGCATAACACACAAATATCAGTTGATTTATCAATACAGGATGTGCCTTACCTTTGACAGGGTCAGAAGTGTAGAAGTTGGGACATGGGATTTTTCTTTTTTCCTCTAGTGCCTTTAAAAACAAGATTAAGTCAGTTATTCCTTCCGTTAGTCGGATTCTGCAGCTCTAAGTGATTTATTTGTAATCATGAGGAATAAGGATTACTTACAGGTGTATATTGACTGACTTCAGAATTCATTTTTCCTGCAGCAACTTGTTTTCCTTTTGGACTCCAGCCAACTGCGAGAAACAAATAACATTATCTGCAATTGAGCCACAATAAATATATGGAGCAGAAGTAAACTCAAGGTGACGAGTCTCACTCACTACATGTGATGCCATTTGAAGCCGGTAGCTGAGCCTGCACTTTGACATCGCCAGTAACATCCAAGATCATCAAACAGCCGTCAGACAGACAGGCGGCGAGCATTGACGGCTGGACAGGATTCCACTTCAGGTCTTGAACTAAACAGCCAGGGGCTACTGCAGGCAGCAGTGATGCAAAAGGTAGTTTCTGGGTTCTTGCCTGGAAACATATTTTTAATGTAAATCTGTCAAACACTGAGGCATTTAATAATTGAGTAGCCAGGTTAGAAACGTACTACATTTAACTGAAAATAGTTAATAATAACATTGACAAGAATTCCATGCAATTATTTCATAATGTACTACTATAATTAAACTGTTGCATGCAGACTATGTACATCAGCTGGGAAGGTTTACAAACTGTGTATTTTAACGGTCAACATAGAAAAAGTAAAAGGCATTATTTGGAGACTTTATGCTGAACTGTAAAATGAATTATAAATTATAATTTAATCTAAAATAATTGCTGTATGTCAGGGTGTTTTTCAGGTTGCTGGTCAGACTGGATATAACAATGTAAGTAAATAGCTAATCTTGCACTGTTTAAGCTATTTTTGTTATGCAAACACTACTACACCATCTTCAAATACAATGTCTCAAGACATACATTGACAGAGTCAAAGTAGGATAAAAAATAGTCACCTTGTTCATGAAGGTGCGGACATCATAGAAGGTGAAGGACAACCCCCCCGCCTCAGAAATACCACATACTGACAAAGTGAGTTCATCACTACTGAGAGCTAAGTGGTGCAGGGACAGATCCACAGTCACATCTGCCAATACAGGTGTCCCCTCGACTAGAACAAAATGGAGCAAATTGTGAGTAAAAGACTTCAACGGAAAGCAGGGTGAAGACGAATTGTTAGCAACAGCCAACATGCCAATGTTGTGCAAAACAATTTCTAAAGTCATATACATACCTACTTCGTTGGGGTTGCCATCAAATTTATCAGCGCCCAGGATGTCTTGAGTTTGGTAAACCTTGAATGTTCTGTCGAGCCCGACAAAAGTTAAACCAAATTTGTTTGAGATGGTAAGCAGACTAGTTCTTTCTTTTGGCAAATCTTCAGTGGGCTGAAAGACTCTGGTTTTTTTCATTTGTCGAAACTGAAAATCCTGGAAAAAAATAAACACAAGCAATGCTTATAACTTCAGGGTCAGCCGTTATGATTGGTGAACAAATTGTAAGTGGTTCCAGTTCAATATCTGCAAACTAAACTGTCTTCATAGGGACAAAAACAAGTATACTGGAACCATGCTTGAAGACATACACTATATATATATATATATATATATATATATATATATATATATATATATATATATATATATACATATATACATAAGAACACAGACTATTATAACAGAGACATTTACTTTACTGCGAGAAACATTAATTGTTACCAGAAGTACACACATCCTTTACTCAAGTAGAAGTACAGATACTCGGTAAAATACTCTGGTAAAAGTAGAAGTATTAACTATACCTCTTTACTTAAGTACAAGTAAAGAAGTATGGGCTTGGAAATGTACTTAAGTAAAAAGTACCCATAACTAACTGTTTTAAAGAGTAACTGACCTCAATTTATATTAATAGAACAATAATGTCATTGTTAGCTAATGAATGTTTCGATGCTGAACAACGGCAACATGACAACGTTTTCATTGGTCCCTCTTCTGTAGAGAAGACCAGGAAATGATGGATACACGGACCATGTTAAAATCCATAGGCACGCAATGACTCTAAATAATAATGATCACGCCACAGATTAAAACTAAAGTAACGAACCTGTTTTGAAAATATAAGAAGTAGAAAGTACAGGTATTTATGTTAAAAATGTAAGAAGTCAAAGTAAAAAGTTGTCAGAAAAATAAATAGTGGAGTAAAGTACTGGCACCAGAAATACTTGGCACCTCTGATTGTTATGCTTTCCTTTGAAACAGGTATCTGATACTTTCAACTTGACCAGTTTGTGACATCGGTAATTTACGCAAAGCACCAAATAGAAAGTAAAATCTATCTTGATAGCCAACATGCTGTGCAGTCACTTCACATTAGCTAACTATGCTAAACTGCGACTCCATTTATACCTAGAGCAAACGTGTATTAAACGTGAAAACTACCTAATTTATTTATTTCACACGCATACAGTTGTTAATTATCACAACCACAAGTAAACACTGAACACTCAATGAGCATAATGTTATATGACGTAGCTAGCAAATATGCTAATAGCTAGCGTTCTAGGATAACTACTTGGCTAGAAACTAAGAAGATAAAAGTGACTGTAACAGCTTTTTCGTGCCACACTTTTAAACCGACATATCTAACTGTTATTTGTGTATAGGTAACCAATATATATTGTTGTATATGTTTATGATTCAGGTGTAAACGGAAAACCTAAAGACGAACAGCTAGCAAGCCAGCTAAGCTACCCAGAAGCATTGAAAATGCTAACAAACATTAGCTCACAGATGCTAACTTGTCAACACTATTTATTGACAAAGCTTACCTTCATTTCCCTCTCAGGAGGGTTGTCTGTGTCGTCACTCATTTTGAAGCAAAGTAGTTGTTGCTTCTCCCGATAATATTTTGTATTCTTTATTCCTCACTTATTTGTGTCAGAGACAAATGTCTAGTGAGCCACATTTGTCTGTCAGGAGAGCTGAACACACGCCGTCGCCGCGCGATTTTTGCGACAGAAAAACGTCATCTACGTACGCAGGATGAGAAGTAGATACCAGAGTACCCCGAGATTATTACACTAACTCAGTTACTTTACAAAAGGATGACAATAACTGGTATTTATTGTAATCACCTAGTTACTTTTACAGACAAAACTCCAGAAAATATAAATATCCTATGCACATTGTTTTAAAAAAATAAACAAATATAGATAATAAATGCTATTTTACCAATCGCCTCCAAAAAACAGACCATGGCCTATACTACATCTTGTTAACTACATGTGTCCTGGTGGAATCAATTAATCTTATAACAAAATTATAATAAATAAGTCATAAAGCATTTAAAACTTTCTTTAAAACATAGGGTTTATTTATTCATAGGGTATCAAACATTGTAGAGCTTGACTACCTACGCCTCTGAAAGGTAATGCTATTTTCAAAAGCTAAAAATATACCAGAGCCTGTTTTAGATATTGTTACTATGCAAGAAAAAATACTTGAAGTGGTTACCTGTTATAAATACCTTGGTATCTGGCTTGATGATTGTCTTACTTTTAAACTTCATGTCAATAACCTGCTTAAAAAGCTGAGGGTTAGACTAGGTTTCTTTTTCAGAAACAAGTCCTGTTTCTCATTTGAAGCCAGGAAAAGGCTAGTCACTGTGACCTTGTTACCTGTGCTGGACTATGGTGATTTGTTGTATATGAATGCACCTGCCTATTTATTGCCTGAACAAGTTAGATGCCGCCTATCACAGCGCACTGAGATTTGTCACAAATTGTAAAGCACTTACTCATCACTGTACCCTGTATGCCAATGCAGGTTTGCCATCACTTACTGTAAAGAGGCTCAGTCATTGGTACACGTTTATTTATAAAGCCATGTTGGGTAAACTCCCGTATTATATGTGCTCTCTGATAACACAGAGAGTTGCAAGCAGCTATTGTCTGAGATCGCATGATAGTATTGTTAGATGTGCCAAGAGCAAGGACTGTCTTAGGTAAGACAGCTTTTATGTGCGCAGCTCCACTTGCTTGGAACAGTCTTCAGCAAGAATTGAAACTGAGCAATCTCATTCCTCTGCATGTTTTTAAAGCTAGGCTAAATGAAATGCTCGTTGATACTATGGGCACTTGTAAATGTCTATAACTATGTAAATGTATCCTGTAAATATAATGTATGATGTCCTTTATTGTTTTATGTTTCATGTGGAACCTATATGCTGCAGATCTCCCTTGAAAAATATATCTATGATCTCAATGGGACCAATCTCGTTAAATAAAGGTTTGAAATGAAATGAAAATGAATACTTATTGTGGGTTTCTGCACCCGACAAGCCCCTGAAGGTAGCTTACCGTACACAACTTAAATAAATAACACAGGAGCATACCAACAGAGACAAAAGAAACAAGAGCAATTTGGTGAAGTAAGGACTTTTATTAGAAAGCAGATTTTTCTGTATTGCATTTAATGAAATCAGGTACTCTTGGACTACACAATTGAGACTGGTGATGGAAAATACCATGATGGGAATGAAAGGTAGATTCGTATGCAACATCAAAAGTGGCAACTTGCATTTCTGTTGTATATATTATTGATGCTTGAGACAGAAGGCGCATTAACATTTTAATTTTAAACATAAAGCAGTATCAACACTGAAATTGTCAAATCCCAGTTTGCCTGGTCCAAGCCCTGTTGATAGTGAAGTACATTACCATTATCAAGGTGCAGGCTTGCATGATAAGATCCTCTTTTGTCCTAAAGACTGTCCATTAAGAGGATACCAATATGCCCAGACGTAGGACCTATTTGGGCCATGCTTAGTAGAGCCTTACAGATATGTTCCATGTCAACATGGAATAGCTCTGTTCACGAAGCACCAAGGTATTAGTCCAATGTAGTCAGTTCTTTTTGCACACACTTTTAACCAAGAAGGCTGGAGTTAACATAATCCAGTCCCTCTGCTCTGGAAAGTAAGCTAGCACAGACCAAAGCAAGCTGGAGATAGACAAAGCAAACAGCAAGAGCACAGCAAGTCATGTCAGATCTCCCATAATGCACTTTGGGTCTCATCCCTATTCTGATTGTCAGCGCTCTGAACACATGGCTTTAAAAGTTGCTTTTTCTCCTCGTTCACCGAACCCACAGTTACTCTATTCTCTCTTTGTTTCTAAGTAGTTCTAAAGTGCTGGCATTATGTTCAAGGACACATACAAACGTTTAGTGCATTTTCTCTGAGTCTGCAGAAGGTTCAAATGCATACTCAACTGTTAGTTTATGTTTTCAACTCTTTATCACTACTTTGCTGTCATTTTTAAAGAAGGCCAGGGTTTGATAAAAACACAACCCTACTCATTGCAGGACTCCACAGTCTTTGTTTGCTAATGGTGACAACAGTTATTCAGCATAACATACATGGTGCATAAAGATCAGAGGTTTCATTGGGTTAGAGTGAGTTTCTGAATGGCATGCATTATATGATACAAGAGTCTCTTTGCATATAAATGTATTGTTTCCTGGAAAAACCAATGGCACTACTGTGCCCATATGTTTTACAGTTATGGGGTGATGAACAGAGCACTAAGGTTTTAGAAAGTAAGTAACAATTTATTTGCAAAGAAATGTGAAAAACCTTCCCATCTCTTACTTGTAATGTTCAATGATCATCAGGTGAATGGCAGATATTGCAAAAGACACATTTCCAAAAATATTTAAAGAAACTGTTTTTCATGAATTCAGAATTGTCTGTGAAGGAGACCTGGTTTCAATCAAATATATATGTAAAATACATAGCATTACATACATGTTAACAGGACCTTTTCTTTAGGCCACCTCAAACAGCTCACCTTACCAAAGGTTATCCATGACATTCTCTGAGAATATCTCAGTTTATAGTGCAACATCATTCATTTTCAAATTTGCCCTGCACAAGAAAAAAAGACTAAGCAGAAGAGAAACCATAGAAGATTTCCATAAAAAGGTTTGTTTTTTTTGTTGGCAAGGAACGAGACAGACATATTTCCAGTAAGGCAGACTAACTGTAAACAAGCAGAAATGTAAATGCCGGATGGGAAACCAAATGTTTTATGTGGGATTGTCTTGTAAAGAAGACTAGTCCGATTATAAATCTGTCAAAAGCCTGATCTTAAACGCGAACACGTGAATACTATAGATTTTTGGTACACTTTTTAGGGATGTCTGTTAATCTTATAAATAATGTGAGGAGATCATTCTAGAAGATCCATGGTTGTTACAAATGAACTGTTCAATGCATCGAAGTGCAGTTAATCTGTAATAATGGGTTTAACCATTTACCCTTATAGAATAAAATATGGCAAACATTAAGCAAAAAGACGAGTGAATACAATCTAAAATCTAAAAATAAAAGTACATTTTACTGAGCAAAGGTCCTTAAAGGCCAATTTCCATAAAGAAAAAATGTGTCTCTGCATAATATTTTGTATTTCTTGTCTTAAAAAAAGGTTAATTTCACATAATTAACACCCACACCGTCAAAGAAGTGCAGGTGATCCTATCATAAAGCCATGCAAGTTAAGCTAGTGGTGCCAATAGTGAACTTAATATCTTAATTTTCCTTACAAGAGCAAATCTAAGAAACTGAAGCTTCATAAAAAATAGAAACACAATTTGATAAAGAATTAATTTGCTAGATTTGAAAAGTTAACATTCTAAACGTCAATAACGTCAATAGTCTGTTTTGTCAACACATATTTGAACATTAAAGACACCCATAAATGTAAAACGATTAAAACAAAATTAGGATTAAAAACACAATAGTATTTAAGAAAAATAAACGCCTATACTCGAACCTTGCTCAGTTTTTGTAAGGGAAATACCAATTTGAAAGACCAGTTTTAAAATCACAAAAACTTTGAACATCAACGAGGCTCATATTCAACTTAATGTTATATTACTGCCTTTTTTTTAATGACCCACTATACAAATGAGACAAAAAATGGCCAGATTAAAATAAATGTATTTTACTAATCCAGGATTGGACCTCTCGCCAGAACAGTGCTCCAGTTTCTACATTCATTCATCATCTCAGCCATTCTATCACAGCCCTGTTTTTATCCATGGTGGACCCCATGTCTTTGAAAAGAGAAAAGAAAAACATACTCAATTCTGTAAACGTCATCATTATTAACCCTGTGTTTCTTGTGCAGGGCCATCTTAAAGCCTCTCATAAAGAATCCTAAACATGACATGTAAACACAACAATTGAGGTGGCACAGCACTGAAGCTAAAACCAACAGATCAAATACATCAGGGGCCAATACATATCATTTGTTTGCTTGGTAGTCAATTTATGCTGTCAAATTTGCAGTGGAAAAGTGTGATTCATTTTTCCAATAACTTTGGGGTTCACTGAATTTGATGGTCTGACCTTTTGAATTAATGTTCTTTGACAGAAACAACAGAAACAAAACATACAACAGTGTATCTCTCAAAATCAATGCAACAAAGGCAGGCTTTTTGGACCAAGTCCCATATGCATGGCAGAAAACATGAACAGCAGAAAGATATAACAAAAATTACAGGTTTTTAGTCCCTGTCCGACATTGCCTCACCCCACCCCCCTTCCAAAATATAGAAACCGTTTCTTTCAGAAAGAACAGTTTTCTCTTTACAAACCCACAATCTCCTCAACAAATAAACAATCACTGTGATGTGGAGGACATTTTCAGTCTTTAGTACAGTCACATTTTTTCAAAACTCCTTAGTTTCCCACCCGTTCAATTTATTTTGAGTGCATATGCAAATCACCAGCAGAAATTGCTCTAAGAAGTTTTATTAATAATTTACCCCCCAACCCCTCCAGGAAAAACAAAGAATGGAAGCAGGACCATGTGGTCAATCAGACAAACACATCGAGGTGAAACAGTGCTTCGCTCCTTTGCCACTCAGTGTAGTGCGCTTACCACTCTATATGTTCAGTCTCCTCTACCCGTTGTCAAAGCACGCTATGCGGTTAAAAAAGCTGATCCAATGGGTTCTGTGTTAAACACAGTCGATCACACCCAGGTCAGTTCTAACAGGAGTCAGACTGAGGACAGATCCAAGTGGAAAATGGACAAAAGTCCTTTCATGGCATATCTTGAGGCAATAGAAGCAGTTTTATAATTTAGATGCAGGTATGTGGCTTTGTTGTTTTCAATAATTCTCTGTATTCATTGTTTGCAGACATGCAAGCTTGGATTTTAACACACGCTCTTGTTAATGTCTCTCTCCCCCCTATCTCCCAAACAGAATGATGTTATCCAAAAGGATTTCTCAAAGTTAAAAAGCATTGTTGCGCTTTTTTGGGACAGTGTATTTTTTATGCATTGGTGCAGATTTTAAAGGCTAAGTATTATAAGGTGAGAATATGGGTGTGTGTGTGTGTGTGTCTGCTGATGTTTCTGTGTGTGTGTTTTGGAGAGGCGGTCCGGAGCAGACACAGGCATCACATTGACAATCTAATCCAATATGTCACGGGCAAATATGCATGAAAACTAAATTCCATGTGATAGATTATCTGTTGGATTGTGGAGAACTTCTCGTCTTTATCCTCAAAATGACCCCATGTTATAAAATAAAATGTCTTCTGTTTAACGGTGGTAATGCAGAACTTGACCTTTTATAATAATATAGTCATTGTATTCATACTAATACAACAAAATAAGCTGCTTTTAAAAAGAGCTTTGATTCCCTGATCTTTAGATCATTTCTCTATTTCTCCCAAGGTGACATGGGTTATTTACGGATGTTGCTTTTCAAGGAAACAGAATAGTTTTACATACCATTATACTACACTCCCTAATATGTCAGCAAAGCAGCTGTTGCTTTTGTATTTCTCTGAAATCATGAATCATTCCAGACATTTGTTCTGCTATCACATCTTTGTAATATTGCTGTAGGTGCCGAAACACCCGAGTAAATACTGAATATACCAAGAAAAGGATGTAGCAGAAAGGGTTGATTTTCTTAATGTGCTAATGCCATGCCTGTGTCTACTTCTACTTTGAGTGATCTACTTCTACCATCAGTAAGTATGCGTGTTAACAAGCACACGTGTGCGCATGCATGTGTGACAAATGCCTATATTAAGATCTACGAGCGTAGCTATTGTGCTGAATTAATTCCTGTCGAGTAAACACAGGGGAGAAGTACAGTAAGAGTGATGGACGAGATGTTGAGTAAGAGAGCAAGCAAAAGAAAATGCGCTGTTAAACAGATTCACAATGTGAGAGGCAGCCGTATAACGTCATTCACTGTCCGTTCACCCGCAGACCTTGTCCAAAATTCTCCACTTCCTGCTCTGAAGGCGTGTCGCCACAGTTGCCTGCCTCAGCTCCTGTGATCAATGTTGGTGCCCCCATTGATCCGTCTACACCTTCTAACCCAGCTTCATCCTCATCTTCCTCCTGCTCCTCTTGGACTCCACCTTCAGCCTCTGCTCCAGCCGCCCCAGCCCCGGGGCTGCCCTCCGTCAGCGCTGCGTGAGTCCTGAGAGGGTCCTTGCGATCAGGAAACAACCTAGGCTCTAGGCCCTTGAAGTCTACCTCGAAGGGGAGGGCCACCCCTGGTTGAGAGGCACCCAGGGCCAGGCCCAAACCCACAGCAGCACCCATGCCCATTCCTGCACGGTACACCTCCATGCCATCAGGCAGCATGGACTTGATCTTGGGCAGCCATCGCTTGCGGACACGCCTCGCATTTGTGCACATGTCAGCAGCAATCACATTCATTTCACTCTCCTTGAAGTTAGGGTTGAAATTTTGACAGTAGACTGTAAAAGAGAAAGAAAACTCAATGTAGACAAATTGTACTCTTTTGAAATGTTATCACATATATTTGCAGATTTGGGAAGTGAACCTACGTTTGACAGCGTTGAGGACCCTGCTGTCCAGGGGTTTCCTACTGGGGTCACTAGTAGAAGAGCGGATACCTGTCCCACAGCTATTGGCTAAAGTGTTTCTGCAGGGAGTCAACACCAGGGGGCAGAGTCAGCAACAGCCACATACAGTAGATACACATGGGAACACACAACTAACCGCATTGCACAACATGGCCACAGATGGAGTGTGAAAGTTGGTTTGAGACAACAGTTGTAGTGTTGCAGTCATACAAATAACTCAAATCTTACAGTAGGCCCTTACAGACTCATGCAAACAGTTCTTCTTCACAGTGCCTGTTTTTGTACTCACCTATCGAAGAATGTGGCAAGCAGGCGGCGAAGCAAGACTTTGTGTTTGATACCAGCACATAGATGACAATTCATCAGCTGTCCTCGAGTCATGAACACCTGTGTACCTGGTGTAGAAATAGAAAAGTAGTTGCTGAGAAAACTGCACATATTACAATACATTTGTCCTTACAGATTCTCTAGGCCTTGTCGTTTCTCTCTTGGGCCCAATAGCTAGTTCATCTTTTGTTGTTTTTGCTACATTTGAAATTCTTGTTCAAGGAAACTTCACGCAGTCAAACGTCAATCAGGAGCGAAATCAAAGTTGAAGGCCATAAAAAAGGCACACAATTAAAATTCTCGGTTTTGCCTTCTTTTCAAAACCTATCTTTTTCACATTCATGTATTGTATTCTGTATCTTATAAGCACACTACAAAACTGATTAACCTTTTACCATTGAGTTCCATTGTGTTTTTCTATTACATCACCGTCTGATTGAACTGGAGCTTGCAGTTACTTTTTGAACTCTTGAACCAATAGTAAATTGATTAAACTTTTGGCCCTCCTCCCTTGTATGAATTATATTAGCTACATGGTACCTGGTCTCTCTGAGTCTCTTGTCTGACTGCCAACAGCGATGTCTGGCAGTCAGACCAAAGAGTTCAGTTTTTGTTTAATCATACCAAAAATATATAATTTCTCATGCTTTCAGAGCCGTGTAAGGGCAATTCGCCAAACTCCCGGCAGGCTGTCATATGCTTTTTACTCCAGAGTGACTTCTGTCTAGTCACTCTACCATAAAGACCTGATTGATGAGTACTGCAGAGATAGCTTTCTTTCTGTCATTCTCCTTAATCCCTGCAGAGAAACTCAGCTTTGTTCTGTCCTTTTAGGATCACCACAGTAATGTTACTAAAAAACACTATGGGGGTCAACCAGAATCAGCTTAAACATAGGTCAGATGCAGGTTGAATACATGTATGCTGCATTAAAGGGATATGAGCAGTAACTTAAGGACATTTCCAAAACACGACCTTATTGTTAAGCTGCCATAATGTCTGTCTGCTTGTCTGTGCATGTGTGAACTCATCTTTCCCTTCTCTATTTGAACTGTCACATTTGTGGATTAAGTACATCATTTTAAAACCCTAATCACAAACAGCAGTGATACTTGTCTATTTATAAAGTGGATGGGCAGTTAGGAAATTACTTCAATATGTGGGGTAGAAATCGTGGGATTTGAAACTGCAGGAGAACAGCGGGGAGAGAGCCGGGGAAAATCAAAAGGGTTGGCAACCATGGAATACATATTTAATCATTTATTAGAATCAGATCATGTATATCATTTTGGCGGGGGATGGTTAGTGTGTGAACCCAACCGCATGTAAAAATGAACAACTCTCCTACTGGATATTAGTGAGGGTCACTGGGCTGTGGCCAACCTCCCCAATCAATTGCCTTTTAGCTCAAGTACAGACGTAATGCTAAATTCATGCTCTATAAGATGTCTCTTTTTTAAAGGAGTTCTATATTACAATGCAAAACCTGGAGTTCTCTTAAAGGTCACCTATCGTGCAAAATCCACTTTTTCATGTCTTTTATACATAAAAATGTGTCCCCTCAACTCTCAGGAAAAAAGATTCTCTCTCTTTTTCTCCTGATCCATTTATATAAAAACCTGTCTGAAAATGAGCTGATCAGATTTTGGCCACTTTATGATGTCATAACGATTTGTTGGCTTGTGTAACCATTAGCCAATCACCAACCAAGGTAACACCCGCCACCTTATCACCTGAATGTCCTCCTAGAGCACCATTGTGTTCTTTTTAACCAAATATCTCTCAGAGGGGCGTGGGGAGTGGCTCCTTATTTTCATCTGAAGTAAAAGACACAGAATCAGCACTTTTGAAACAGAGGGGATTATGGGATGCTACAATGCATGATCTGTTTGGTATTTCGAGCCAAACACTTCAGAAACATGTTTGTATCTGAGACCTATAATATATTGATGAAAAACAGTATAATAGGGGACCTTTAAGTTCTATATTTAATAGTTGAAATGAATCCCATCGTATTAATTTAACTGACTATCGAAGAATTGATTATCTAAATGTGGTAAAGGGTGAAAGTATGAATACTAACCAATTGACTAATGGCACGTTATTCTCTGCATGTGTACATGTGATGAAAGTGAAATAAATGCATGCATGTGAACTCCTATTTGTGTGTGCGTGCCTACCAGCTACCAGTTCCAGCTTCTCCCCGGGGTCCCCCTCAGTGTAGAGCTTAGGGTGGCAGCGGTAGCCTATCTGACTGATGAGGCTTGCAGGCAGCGCCACCAGGTCCCTGCGGATCAGCACGCAGTTGCGGCTCTCCAAGGCCAAGGGCATCGAAGCCATCTCTGGCTTCTCCTGGACTGATGAAAGTAAAAGGAAACAGAAAGGGTTCAGAAAGCTTTTCGAACACAGCAAATCAGAGACAGATAACTTGGTATGCATCCATAAAAAGATCAGACCAGTGTATAAACCACAAAAGAAAAACAACTTCCATCCATTCCCTCTGTGCCCTCTATTTAAATAAAGGGTACACGATTTAATTCACAGAGCAGGTTTATGTAAACTCATCAGCTTGTTGTGTTTTATAAATGTTTTAGAGCATTGCAGATGTATCCCAGTCATGATGCTGCATCAGCAACTTGAGTTTGGGAGAGGGACAGATCTGGAGCTGGGTGTTAGGTTCTTACTTACAAAACTGCCTCCCCTAACCTCTGAGATGACTTGTGAGTATGTACGCACACCCTCCGTGCACATACACACACAGAACAGGATAAGTAATCAATTAATTGCCACACACACACACACACACACACACACACACCACACACACACACACACAACACACACACACACACACACACACACACACACATCACACACACACACACACACACACACACTACACACACACACACACACACACCACACACACACACCACACACACACACACACACCACACACACACACACACACACACACACACACCACACACACACACACACACACACACACACACACACACACACACACACACACACACACACACACACACACACACACACACACACACACACACACAACACACACACAACACACACACACACACACACACACACACACACACACACACACACACAGAGAGAGAGATGGGCCATGCTCTCAAATATCCCACAATGTCACCCTGGGGTGCTCTGACTGATTGCAGATAGAGTGGGTTTCATAACTATCTGAAACTCTAGTATTTGACAAACCTGTCCCTGTGTGAATTCAAATACAAGTGAATAAAGCATATAAATCCAAACACCGTGACGACCTCCTAACCTATCAGGCTCTCCTCTCCTCTTTCTCTGCTTCGATCTCTCAGGCAAAAAGCACTTTCTTTCAAGATAAGATCCAATCTCCTATTCCAATCCCAAAAAACTATTTTCCATCTTCTCCTCCCTCCTGGACCCCCCCAAAGCCCCTTCCCCCTCCTCCCTTCTGTCAAGCGACTTTGTTAACCACTTTGAAAAAAAGGTTGATGATATTCGCTCTTCTTTTTCTGACTCACCCTCTACTCACCGCTGGGTCACCAGACCCTCCTTTCACCCACACACTGACCTCCTTTTCCCCTCTCTCTCCAAGTGAGGTTCTTACCCTCATTACCTCTGCCCGCCCTACCACCTGTCCTCTGGACCCTATCCCTTCAAACCTCCTTCAGACTATCACTCCTGATATTCTACCGTTTCTCACCCATTTCATCAACACTTCTCTAACTTCTGGTCACTTTCCAAACAGTCTCAAGGAGGCAAGAGTAAACCCTCTCCTAAAGAAACCTACTCTCAACCCGTCTGATGTTATAAACTACAGGCCTGTCTCTCTCCTCCCGTTCCTGTCTAAAACACTTGAACGCGCTGTCTTTAGACAACTCTCCTGCTATCTCCATCAGAACAACCTTCTGGATCCGCACCAGTCTGGTTTCAAGGCAGGTCACTCCACAGAAACTGCCCTCCTTGCTGTCACGGAGGAACTGCACACTGCCAAAACTGCATCCCTCTCCTCTGTTATCATTCTTTTGGACCTGTCTGCTGCATTCGACACGGTGAATCATCAGATCCTCCTTCGCACTCTCCAAGCACTTGGAGTTTCAGGCTCTGCACTTTCCCTCTTCACCTCATACCTCAAAGACCGCACCTACAGGGTTACTTGGAGAGGGTCCGAGTCCGACCCTTGTCAATTAACTACAGGGGTCCCTCAGGGCTCTGTTCTTGGTCCCCTCCTCTTCTCCTTGTACACAAACTCGCTCGGATCAGTCATTAGCCCGCATGGTTTTTCATACCACTGCTACGCTGACGACACCCAATTAATTCTGTCCTTTCCCCGCTCAGAGACCCAGGTCGTCGCACGCATCTCTGCTTGTCTAGCTGACATCTCTCAGTGGATGTCTGATCATCACCTCAAGCTCAACCTTGACAAGACTGAGCTGCTCTTCCTTCCGGGAAAAGATTGTCCCACTCTTGACCTAACAATCAACATTGGCACCTCTGTTGTTTCCCCGACTCAGACGGCAAGGAATATGGGTGTGACCCTAGATAACAACCTGTCCTTCACTGCAAACATCGCTGCTACAACCCGCTGCTGCAGATACACGCTTTACAACATCAGGAGGATGCGTCCCCAGCTGACCCAGAAAGCGACGCAGGTTCTGGTCCAGGCTCTCGTCATCTCACGCCTAGACTACTGTAACTCCCTCCTGGCTGGTCTACCTGCATGTGCCATCCGACCTCTGCAGCTCATCTAGAATGCAGCTGCTCGCCTGGTCTTCAACCTTCCTAAATTCTCCCACACCACGCCGCTCCTCCGCTGCCTTCACTGGCTTCCGATAACTGCTAGAATCCACTTCAAGACAATGGTACTTGCTTACCATGCTGCGAATGGATCTGGCCCTTCCTACATCCAGGACATGGTTAAACCGTACACCCCAGCACGTGCACTCCGCTCTGCATCAACCAAACGGCTCGCTGCGAAGGGGACCCAAGTTCCCATCAGCAAAAACACGTGGGTTTTCTATCCTGGCTCCTAAATGTTGGAATGAGCTCCCCATTAACATCAGGACAGCAGATAGCTTACAGACCTTCCGGCGCAGACTGAAAACTCATCTCTTTCGACTCCACTTCGAGCGATAGAACTACTAACAAAGCACTTATATACTAATAAAGGGCTGGCTTATCTAAAGCCAGTTGAGTAGCACTTGAAATGTTTTTGCTCTATGAAGCCTGATGTACTTATATGATTCTGTTTTCTTCAAGTTTGTATTTTGTTGGTCGAACGCACTTATTGTAAGTCGCTTTGGATAAAAGCGTCAGCTAAATGCAATGTAATGTAATGTAATATAGGTAAACCTGCACCAGTATAAAGACTATAACAGAAAACAGTAAAGTACCAGCTGTTGGAGCTGTGATACAGAGTGTGTTGTTGGTCACGATGCACTCCAATCATAACTCCATAAAGCTATCTTTATGCTGAGAGAACCCACACACACACTGGAGGCACAACATCCTGCTTTTTCCTAGATGCTCAGGATACATGATTTATGAAAGATTACTGTAAATAATGTAGCTGGGATGAAATTAATGTGCATCACTTTTATTCGCACAATACTGAAGTCTAGACAAGGAGCAACCGTGTTAAATAAACCCTACATTAATTTGTATGTACTGTATTTCTGCAAGTCATGCAGAGTTTTACTTTTAGATCAGTCAGATATCAGATGAATTTCCCTATCTGAGCCAAGGGCAATTGAGAAAGTAATTCACTTACTTAGATTCTACATAGCAAGAACTTTTTTAAAAGAGCATCTTGATGGATGGTTGACATTGAAATGTTCTTGTTAGCATTAGCATTAGCTATTTTGATAATTTCAGTTAGGAATTACATACGTATCAGTGTGGAATAAAATGGAAATGTCAAATTAATTTTGGGCTATAACTGAGAACAAACTGTATTTGCAGAGGTTTTTAAAGATGACAAATATTCCAGAGCTAGCGTCAGTGATAAGTGCTCTCAACCAAAAACACAAAAGCACTGTAACGCTTCACAAAGATAAAAAAAAACATTAATTTGACATAATACTCACTCCCATAGGGGTTAGCTGAACGTCCATAGAGATGGCTGTAGGCATCCTCAGTGATCCCATCATATGGCTCTTCTTCAAACTCCTCGTCCTCATTCTGGTAGGATGTAGGACTGTCAGTGGTGGGCAGGCTGGATGATCCAGGACTTGACCTTTCAACTCCTCCTCCACCAGCCCCAGCCCCTTGAATATGGTACGAAGGCATACCGGGGATTGCGGTCCCACCAGCCGTCGTGTAGAACAGGGAACTGGCCCTCGCCAGCCGACTCCCCAACTCCGAAGAGGAGATCTTGCTTTGCGTCATAGGTATTGTCAGGGGCGTTGGGTCCCCCCCTTCTAGTTTAATCTTACGCTGGGGCATGAGTAGGGATGGAGACCAGCCCGGGGTTCCCAAAAGGGCAGCCACCGCTAAGCCGTTTCCATTATTACAAGGACTCTGCGGCTCGGATCCTGTCTCCTCTAAAGACCCTGCTGTCTGTGAGTCACAGTGAGGTGAGTTTGCCTTAAACATTAGGTCCATGCCTCTTTCAACTATATGCTGAATTTGGAGGTAGCCAGCTGTGTACATAACCACCAGCTGTTCACTAGCAGCCATTGTTAGCTTCCCTGTATAGCAGAAAGTGAGGATCTGCTCAAAGCAAGCAGGTGTGACTGAGGAAGGCAACTCAAATTGGCTCTTGGTTGAGCTGCTGAAGAGGTCACGAAAGTAGAGGCTGCTGGCCGCCAAAACAGCCCGGTGGGCTTTGAAAGCCTGACCTGGTTGATGGAAATAACAGAGAACAGAAAAAAAAGGTGAGATACAAGTTTCTAGTATCATTTCAAAGTTCTGTAACATAAATATCATTTCTAGATTTCAAAATTAACCAACCTTTGACCAGGATGGACACATCGCAGTAGTGTCCCAGCAGGCGCTGCTCGTTGAGGGAGCCCAGAACCGTGGCTCCAAAGTTCGGGATCTCCACATGGAGCAGCTGGGACATGTTGGCCGCAGAAGAAGAGGAAGTTGGGGTTTCAGATATTCACTGCAGACTCCGCCACTGAGAGAGGCATCTATTAAAATAAGAAGAAAAGAGAACAAAACAAAGTTATTAAAAAAGGCATCGAAAGAAGGAGTGATAACCAAATGCGTGAAAGATGAAAAGACATGCCAGAGGGAGGCAGAGACTCTTAAAAAGGAAAGAAAGAGCAAGAATTAAATAGAGTTGAGATGAAGTGAGAAAATGAATGCAGTTGAGGGAGAAATGAGAGGTGTGTGAAAGAGAGATATGCTGGGATAGTGGGTAAGAGAGAAGAGCAGGAGAGAGAATGGAGTCAAGTCAGTCCACATGAAAGAAAAACAACAATACAATGCCGTGCCTACATGAGGACGTTGAGAAATACCTTAAGGCTAAGTTGTTTCAAATGGCTTAAATGGCTTAAATTCCAAGAACCTTGGACTCGCTCCATGATTTGCACTTAATGCTTCAACCATGGACTTGCTTGACCTGTAAATCTGAGATTAAACTAAACTGTATCCCACTTTGTTTTGTCTTGAAAAATGCCACAGTTTAGAGATACTCCCCCAATTTTGCTGACAGTGTATACCACTGTCAGCATTTGATCTCTTTGTAAACTCTGGCTAGAAAACAAAACAACACAACTGACGTCATGCACACAATCTACACTTAGTTTGATCCTGCTCAATAACATACTTCAGCCATATTTGCACCTTCCTTTCCTTTCCTGAACCTTGTGTCTGTCATTGTTTTATTTTTTCCCCCTACACATACACACACACACATGCATATACGCTCTGGTTTCATTATTAAGCAATGCTGCAGAACAGTTTCCAGGAACACAAACTGAAAAAAATAAATGTCACCGCCTCTCTCTCTCTCACACACACTCGCCTCTCTCTCTCTCACACACACACTCACCTCTCTCTCACACACTTCATACAGACGAGCACGCTTTCTGGCTTACTTACATAAAAGTGTACACACACACACACACACACACACACACACACACACACACACACACACACACACACACACACACACACACACACACACACACACACACACACACACACACAGACACACACACACACACACACACACACACACACACACACACACACACACACACACACACACACACACACACACACACACACACACACACACACACACACACACACACACACACACACACACACACACACACACACACACACACACACAACACACACACACACACACACACACACACTACAGGCTGCATAGAGAAATAACTGTGTACTCTGACAGGCAAGCACTCACCTGGAGAAACCAGCACACGACGTTCCTTCACTAAAAGACGCTCACACGTGCAAAATGCAGAAAAAAGCACCCACTGTTATCCCAGACACTTCTGACCTGTGTAAGCCAGTCCTCTGGTTAAAACACACCATGTAGACTTGACACACACTAACACCCCAACAGCAGTCCGGACCAGGACAGAAGAGGAGTAGTTAGAGATGGAAGGAGAGCACTCTGATGTACTCCGTCTGGCCGACTCTCTTTTTCACTTAAAGCGTCCTTCCCACTGTCTCAAAGATGAATCTCTGTCTGCTGTCTGACGGACTTTTTCCTCTGTCTGCCTATCTTCTCTATCTCTATTTCCTCCAAAGCCCCATTCTCTCTCTGCTCACTGTCTGTTCTAGCGCTGCCTCAAAGCCTCTCTGTCATTATCTCTCTCTGTTTCTCCCCCCTCTCTCTATTCTCCAAGGGTTGAATTCAACAAGTGCCGCTGTAAGGAGAGAGAGAGAGAGAGGGAGAGAGTGGGGGAGAAAGATAATGGGGAGAGAGAGAGAGAGAGAGAGAGAGAGAGAGAGAGAGAGAGAAAAGAGAGCAGAGCAGAGCGAATCAATGATGAAAGGAGTGGGAGGCTCAGTGTGTGCGTGTGTGCGCATGTGTCTGCGCGTGTGTGTCTGATCAATGCAGTATCTATACGTCGCAGGGAGTGGGAGGGAGAGAAAAACACAGGCTACAGTTACAGACGGAGACAGAGACTGGGCAGAGCTAGAGAGAAGCAGAGGAGGGAGGGAGGGAGGGAGCGAGGGGAGAGTTGAGACAGAGAGAAAGTCATTTGAGGACAGTACGAGTAGAGAAAGACAATTAGGTTGAAGCAACTTCTGTCACTTGCCCCTGGACACGGATGCGTATACGGTCTAACAGAAAGCAGAAAGAGGGCGGGGGTGACACAGGCAAAAGAGAAATGAGAAAAGCTGACAGAGGTCATAGCCACCGTTATTTAACTAAGCATCGAATCGTGAAACTTCTGAAATCCCTGTTTGACGCAAGTCAGGAGACAATGCGTCACATCTTGGTAAAGCAACACTTCTTAGTGAAGCTTAAATATATGCGATGCAGTATTCCTCTAATCATTCAAAGTGTACAATTAAAAGGTTCAACACAAATCTGTCATTTCAAGGTGTCTCCCATTATCTTATAATATTCGGAGGACAATAGTTTAGAAAAAAAATAGGTTTTACTTTTGAGCAAGTGTTGTGTATTTTCCTCTGAATCATGCGAGGATCTCTCTGCCAAACACCTACACACAAGGCAGAGAGAAGTTCTGTCTTCACGCAATATTATTTTGTATTTGTACATGAAGTTGTAAATGCAATGATTAATTCACGCCCCCAGTTTGCTGGCTCAGCTTATTCAGGTGACATTTCTGTGTTGGCTTTTTGTTACAATCTTTTGACCGGCATATGGGGGAGCTCCCTAAATGTAGCTTGATGCGAATAAGGCAGGACAGGAGCCAGATGTCGCAGCCGGTATCAGGGAAGGAAAGAATAAAGGACAACAGCTAAGAGAAAATGATACGTTCCAGAGAGATATGTGTGGGAGGATAAGAATGCAAAATTGCTGTGACATATGACCAAGTGCATTTGTACAGTATGTTGTGTAATTCTTACAGGGCGAAAACACAATGAAGGAAGCTGTCTGACCTCTGCGCCACATTTTGGTCGAGGAGACATGAAGACAGTTAGCATTCCTGTTTTTAAAATCATTTCACCCTACAACAATCTGTTATAAAAAGCTGATGCAAAGGATTTTCATATTTGAGCATATCCCCGGAACATTTCCAGACACATTGTGTTTCATATTTTGCCAAAGAAACCTCAAGTGGAGAAAGTTGTGCTAAACTGAGCAAACTTTTACTCTTCAGTCACCGCGGAAATATAAAAGGGAGGATATCACAAAGCGATGAATACAGTGAGTCAGACTTTGCTTTAGAGAGCTCTGCCCCAGCAGTGTGATATATGCATGGCACATATAGGCACACATGAGTGAGCACACACAAAAAGCACAGTCAGACACACGAGACACAAATCGGCACACACACTAATGCAAACAGACATACACACACAGTCAGGTAATCTCCCCGTGCACACTCAGCAATAAACATTTGCTTTATTTGTCTGTCTGTCCTTCTGTGAACCTGTCACACTGCTTGTCCATCGGTCCATCCATCAGTCGCTGTCACTACCGTGTCCTTACATCGCCCCTCGGTTCTCCTCCCCCCCTCCCTGTTCTCTATCCTTCCCGCCCTGCATACCACATACCCACTGTCTCTCTGCCAATTAATGCACACAGGGCTGCATTGCAGTGAGGTTGGCGCGTGCCACGGCAGCAAGCACAGTACAGAGTCTACAGACATGCATGTACGTGCCAGCCGGGCAGAGAGGGAGAGGAGGGGGTAAAAAGCAAGAAGGAGGGGGAGAGCAAAGGAGAGTGAACGAAGAATATGTTGAGTCAGGCAGACAGGACGGCGGAGTGCCACACTGCACATATACAGAGACTCACCGCCGAATGTTCATGTAAATGTATGCATGTATATTATGCGGCTAGGCACACAGGCATAAAAGCCCATGTACCACACACACACACACACACACACACACACACACACACACACACACACACACACACACACACACACACACACACACACACACACACACACACACACACACACACACACACACACACACACACACACACACACACACCACACACCACACACACACACACACACACACACACACACACACACACACACACACACACACACACACACGAAAAACTCTTCCTGCATGCATTAAATGTAGACTTTGCACATCCCTGATGAAAAATTATAAAGGCATGAAGTCCCCGAACTTGTTTGTCTAACGAGTGATTATATATGTATGCAAGTGTGTGTGTGTGACTCTCTGCTACCTGTGTCCTCATTTCCTTCTGTGTTTTCATTACCATGTCAAAGTTTCTCTCATACCAAGGCGTGTTTTTATAACCATTGTTATAAATCCGGCTGTGACTTTTGGCACCGTATGACAGGCGTGTGTGTGTGTGTGTGTGTGTGTGTCAGATTAGCTTTTGAGTGGAGATAAGAGATCTGAATGCAGTTCTGATTGCTGCTTTGTTGGATTTGTCATCAATTTTAATAAAGGATTCATACCTACGCACAGTGTTATTAACTGTAGCAGCAGGTCCAGGCATATTTGAATAATATGAAGAAATAAAACGATTGACCAGATGGCACACAGGCAGGCACACGTAATTACTAGTTATACTGTAACCATCTACAAAATGACAATAGGGTAACACTCCAAGATAAGACTAAAAAAGTCATACACAATTATGATTCACGTAAATGCCATTTAGCACTTTACAGAGTTGAATCTCAAAGTTAAGTTAACTTTTATTCTAAATGCAGATAATAAAAACCTAACTACGTCAAACATACATTAAAGAGACAAACCCATATAAGGTCAATCATAATAAGTATCTCATTAAAGTACAGCAATTCACACATAACAGAAAATTAAAAGAAAATTAAGAAGTGAGCTGAGTAGGAGCAGCTCTTTCCTCTCTTGCTTATGGTGCGTCTATACAATCTCAATATGAACAGTCCCCTCGTTATAAATATTCAGATCCTGCAGTTGTTCTCATGTCTAAAGTGTACCAGACAACAGATTCTATCCACGTTGAGACGGCAACGCTCCCTGGCAACAGTTCTACCAATCGGGACAGAGTGAGTGTATGCCGGAGTCTGTCTGAGTATCATTATGGGATGTCGAGAGAGAGAGAGGGAGAGAGAAAGAGAGGCTGCTTATCACTGCTTATAATGCAACATCATTCTCTGTGTATAAACCCTGCTGGGTGAAGTTGTCTGCATAGTCTGGATCCAAATCATCTTTTTCTTTAAAAAAAAAAGAAAAAAGGAAAAAAAATCTCCTCATGATTCATGCAGTTATGTAACAAACAGACAACTCTGAAATGATTTGTTGTGGGCTGAATATTGTCTGGTATCTTTCCACTTGTGTTCACTCAATATGCACCAATAATGTAACTCATGGTTTGAGTTGGGAAAAAAAAGAGGTTGAATTTTAGGTTCAACTGACAGAATATGAGACAATATAAAAACACTAATATAAACATATACCAGGGCTGAATGAAGGGACCATAAACCTGTTTTGTCCTATCTTATCTCAATTAGTTAGTTAATTAAAGTGACAATAAGTGTTCAGTGTCTGATAATTACCACTCAAGAGCTAGTCATGTTTTCACCGTGTTGGTCTGTGTGTGTCATCCTGACATAATTAGCTGCTGGAGACACTTACTGTGGGAACTACCACAGAGAGGTTTTGAATACCGTGCCAGGTGTTTGTATGTCCGTCTGTCTGTGGACACAACTGGGCAAGATGCAGTCACGAAACTTCAGGTGCCTAAATCAGATCATTATGTAGGCCAGAGTTCAATGATGGGTGTGGTCAGAGATACAGGCGGAGGAAGTAAGATGCTAGGAAGAGCAATTTGGCGTTAGGGCTGCTGTGATTCCATCACAAGACGATACCTAGTTTATTTATATATCTGCTCTATCAGCAAGGCCAGAGAAAGTCTTGCTCCGCACAATATCAATCTTGTAAAGACAATCTTGCTTGTTTGTATTTTTTATAACAAAAAGAACAAGAAAGCGGCTGAAATAGGCGGCCACCTAGGGAGTGTACAAAGTGCAAATTAATTTAACAACATTAAATCAAGGTGATTTAGAAGGTTTTTTTTTTTTTATGTATTTGAATAAATATCGCATTAGTTCTCAATTGTTGAAACCTTATAAACTTGATTTTGTTCAAGGGAACAGAAAGGAACAAACTGCTTTGATTTTTCAGTATGTAATTCTATTAAATGGATAGTTTGATACTTAGCTTGGAAAAACATAAACAAAATGTGGTAATTTGATGCATTTTGTTAATTCCCCAGTCCAGTCACATGCTATATTATTGCCTGCTGTAATGAGTAGATACCATTTATTTCCCACACAATAGATCAAGGGCTTAATTGTTAACAAAAGAACGACCATGATTGATTTTTCTAGTGCAGGGACAAGGGATAATAATGCAAACACATACACAAATACATACAAATGCAGTAGCTAGGTGGAGGATGACAGCACTGCAGCGAGTTACCGATCTGTTATCGCACAACTACTACTGACATTTCCCAGTGGTTGGTTGGTCACTTTATGTCAGTTCAGCTTGCAGTTGTGATGATGTGTGTGAGAGAAAACCAGACCGTGGGAGAGTAAGTCCAAGTGTGTGTGTGTGTGTGTGTGTGTATGTGTGTGTGGATGATCCTCCGGAGGCAAAGGCATTACTAATGAACTTCAAGTGGCTGTGGGAGGTAAACAAACAAACAAACGATAGCAGCGGCTACTATATCACACTAAACTGGCGACTAGGATATCGGGATTGCTGCACACGCCAATACACAGAAACATCTACCCACATACAGTATACCCTTGAATATATGTAATGGCTTTTGGGCATATAGGTGAGCGATACAGATACAGTGAAACAAATTGAAAGATACATGAGGGGAGATTAAATTGTGAGAGGCAAAAAGTAGGGGTGGAATAGAGGAGATAGATGAACAAAAGGCGAGAGGACAGAGAGAGGGAGTGTGTGTGAAAGATGCAAATAGAAAAGAACAAGAGAGAAGTAGACAATGCACAGTCACAGGGAGAGGGGAGTTAGAGAGAAATAGGGAAATCAGACGGTGATAGAGAAAAGCGGTTTGTATGAGGAAAGAATCTGTTGCAGCCAAAAATATAAAAAGATTACACACTAAGGAAAAAAGATATCAAAAATAGTAGATCAAATAGACCTGATTGTGTCAAATGTATTCTCATTTCAACTTGATCAGAACATCTTGGTATATGGTGT